GATGAATGGTTAGAATCTTTGAAAGAAATATGAAAATCTTAAAAACAACAACAAAAAAAACCACAGTAATAGTCACGTGACTATATTTGAAATAAAAAGAAATTAAAAATAGCAAGACTTTGAAAACTTGATACTAAAAGGACAGAAAAAACTGGGAAGCATGAAAACTTGAAGCTGAACAGCTGAATATAACCTACATTTGAGTGACAAATAAAACAGCATCCATCCATCATTCCTTTAGTATACCTGCTAGTTCTGATCTTGGGAGTCTGATTAATGTTTTAAACTCTAACGAAGTAAGAACAGTGTATATGCCAAGACTTGCAATGACATAAGTGTTTTTAAGATGTGGGCAAAAAAAAAAAGCCAAAGAACTGTGTTTAGAAGCAATTTAACAACCTGGAAACTACCTGGAACAACTCCTTCAAGTTAAAGCTAACAGTGATTTTCAAAGTCTCCCATTCTGCTACTAAAACTGGAAAATAAATGATTAGTACACAAACTACAAGTAAAAGATGAAGGTATGATAAATACATGTAAAATAAATAATACAGATTAGAAGGTAACACATTTTTATGCAAAGTTTTAAGCACTGCATTTTGCAAATACTAAGAAGTTTGAGTTCTGATTCTAAGAACCTGGTAACATGCAGATGAACTACACCCATTTAACTTTATAACCCAGGCTACTCTGCTCTCACTGATGTCTTCAGCTACGTGAATATACATGCATACTTCACTACACTGCATTATCACCAATAAAAACAATCATGTTGTATTATGAACTACGCGCTCACAAGGCCCTGAATGAATGAAAGACTTCTGCAATAAAAGGCTAACATAACTCATGTTATAACTACTCTTTTCAAATACATCCTTTATATTCAGCATGTTAATATAAAATTAAAAAAAAAAAAAAGTTCCTTTGCTAGGAAACATACTCACCCTTTAAAATATAGTCTGTTAACAAGCTTGGCACTTTCTCGCTATCTTCTTTCATGGCATGAAGGACTAAAGTGTGGAAACAAAAACAAACAAACAAGCAATTCAGACATCTAGTCATAAATTAAAGACAACACTTACAAAAAAAACAAACAGCAAAGCTATTTCTACTATTCATAGGGATTTACATATTACTAGCAAGAAAACCCTTAACTGGAGTACAAGAAACACAAGAAGGGACATGTAGTATCTTCATCCTTCACTTGTATAATTCTCACTGTACTCCACAGTAGGCAGATTCAAGAGACCCATTTTGCATGGCTAATCATTTACAGTAAGATGCCATCAACAATGACAGCAAAAATAAAAAAAAAAAATAAATCACAACATCACTGAGGTTGGAAAAGACTGCTAAGATCATCTTGTTCAACCACCAGTGCAACTTCACCATGCCCACTGATCATTTCCCTCAGTGTCACATCCACAGGGCTCTTGAACACCTTCAGGGACAGTGAGTGCACCACCTCCCTGGGCAGCTGTGCCACTGCCTCATTGCTCTTCTTGAGAAGAAATTTTACCTAACATTGAACCTGAACCTCCCTTGGTGCAAATTTAAGGCCACAGCTTCTCATCATTACCTGGGAGAAGAGAGCAACCCACAGCTCACCACAACCTCCTTTCAGGAAGCTGTAGAGAGTGATAAGGTCTCCCTTGAGCCTTCTCTTCTCCAGACTGAACAATCCCAGCTGCCACAGCTGCTCCTCCTAAGACTTGCACTCCACCCCCTCACAGCTTTGTTGCCCTTCTCTGGGCATATTTTCACCATCACAAGCCTTGCCAACATAAAGTCACCATATCCAAAAGTGAAATATACTAACAGGTAAGAAAAGCATGCTGCATACTTGTCTTTTTTCATCTTCAACTGAAATCATGTAATAATGTTACTTTTCCAGGATGTGCTGCTGTAAATGATTGGATAAAAAAGATCATCTATTCTGGCACTTCTTATGTTCTTAATTATTATATATATTTTAATATTAATCATTCTAATCAATAGGGAAAAGATTCAAAATTCATGTGCAACATTCTTACGTTTAGAGAGATAAGTACATAAGCATGTATGCAATGGAATGTCAGGAATTTTTACAGCTTGTTTATGGTGCACGATTTTTAAAAATTAAAATGGTACAAAACTAAGCAACCTGGCACACATAAGCTTGTCTGTTATTTCATTAACAAAACTAATGACAATTCTTTATGAAGTGTTCTTGGCTCAATTGAAACAATTACACATAAAGAATTAGTACAGAATAGCATTATTTCATAAGCTCCAAATTTCTTCTGTGACAATGAACTTCAAATATAATAAGTGGCTCATTTCAACTTTTAAGTTGAAGAAGGCATGAGTGCTCATAACTATAGAATAATACAAAGCTTTGGGAGGAAAAGAAACCACCCTCAGAAAAAATCCTCCACCTTTCTTTAAGGTCTGTGTTAACAACAGCAAAAGAGAGAGTCAGGAATCTGCAACCGAGTCACAGGGTCAAGTTCCAACCAGCCTACAGAAGGCCATACACTTAATACTATTTGGAATGCCTTTTTTTAATATTATTTATTTATTTATTTATTTTAAACAAGACATTTTGTCAGTAAACCATTAAAACAATATATGCCATTTTCAGGAGCTTTTTATCTCTCTCTTAATATCAAGGTTTTGTTAATATTTTTAACCAAAATTTAAATACGGCAAGAGGGTAACATTACTCTGATGGACTGAATATAAAACGTGAAATATAGTGCCTACAGCAGAAAGACATTAGGAATATAACTTCCATTTAAACATTTCATTACTTCAGACTTTATCTGATATTTATTTTCTCTTTCCAAGAAAACCACCAACCAACCTGTCACTATTCTTTAGCCACCTGTGGAATAACAGATGTGCAGCCGGAAAACACCTTACAGCATTGTTAGATTCCAAGCACTGCACTGTAATACAATCAATCTTGGGTCAAACTGATCAACTGGATGTGATTGTGGGAAGTCTGATCTAGTGGTTGGCAACCCTGCCCAAAGCAGGGGGATTGAACCTACATGATCTTTAAGGTCCATTTCAACCCAGGCCATTCTGTGATTCTATCATTCTACTAATTGAAAGATGTCCCAACCCATAGCAGGGTGATGGGACTAGACGATCTTTGAAGTTCCTTCCAACCTAAACCATTCCATGATTCTATCAAATGCATCAAGGCATTTTATCACCTAATATCAAACTGTTCCTGCAAATCTCAAAAAAGAGGAGATGCCATTGATTACCTGAGATTTGCTACTTTATTTTATCACCCTAATAATTAGTATTTAATTTTTTAAGATGCAACCTTAACTGTCATGCAAATTCCAGTATAACATAGAGGACTTTGAACTTAAAAATAATTTTAAAGATCTGGCCTAAGAAAATAAGGAGAATTTAGAAAATTGTCAAAACTCAGGTTTAGTTACATGCCACAATTACTAAAATTTATTAACAAACAAACAAACCCAAAATAACCAACAGAAAGACAAAGGCTAGTTTAAAAGCAAGCAAGTACAGTTGCTGCATTCATTTCAATTTCTGTAAGTTGTTACAGTAACATCAGTAAGGTACAGCAAATTTGAACAAAAGGAGGTGTTTCAGGTACCAAAAGGTAGCAGAAACAGAGATACATCATAGACTATTTTGTGACATACAGTATTGCTTTAAGTCTCCATTCATGGAAACAGTATGAAAACCTGTGCTTTCTGATGCAAGTTTTTAGACTCCAGAGTTTCAGACAGCAGCTAGAAAATGAATATTCTGCAAGGACTCAAAACCTCAGAAGAGGAGGTCAAAATACACATTACATAAATTATAGAGTGAGACAGAAATAGACAACCATGTAAGTATGATTCATTGGTTCGAGCAACCACTTCCATCCACAGAGAACAGGATGAGCTGGGGAAACACTTTTGTACTTACTTTTGGTTAATGTTTGAAGATCTTCAACAGATGGGGGTCCATTTTTCTTCTCATAAGGGATGACGGTTGTTAAATACTGTCAAAAAAAAGCAGAGTTACTTCACAATCTTTTAACACCACGTATGTTACCTGGATTCTTTTCGTGAACACTGTAGCTATTAAATTTGCTAGCCAGAAATAACAGCTTTTCAAAAATCGTATTACACAAGTGATTAAGATTCTACTTCTCACACTAAGCTATTATTGCAGAAACTATTTTTTTTTTCAAAATTATGTAAACATCTCTTTAAAACTCATGCGGCAAAACACTAACAAACAAACAAGATGATAAAAAATGGAAGTCGTAGATAGTCTGGTATTCTTTCTCAGAGCCTAAGCATGACAGTAGGAAAATCTAAAATCTCTCCACTTTCCAGACGTCAAGAACAAGTCCTTCATATATTTCAAGTACTTCTTACAGTGAAGCAAAAGCTAGAACAATCATCTCACTATCTGGTAAATATATTTCCAGATAAACAATTCTTATTTATGTTTCCCTCAAATCATTTGGGAAACTGATATTACTCAGCCTGTAAAAGATTGCAGAACATATCTGCTGCAGGCTGTGAGAGGTGTGTGAAATAAGATATTCAAGTTTGTACAAATGTGCTAACAGTTATTTAGAAAATTTGGCCATATACTGTGTTCGAAACATTTTAGAACAGCCATGGGATTTTCCCAGTGACTGCTGAACTCCTTCTAAGTGTATGAAACATTCCAAAGACCTTGGTAGATCAAAGAGTGCTGCCCATTCCCATCTCTGACGGTGATCTATATGGTCCTCTGTACAAAGAAAATTAGACTGCCCTACAGTCGGGTGAAAATGAAAACAGACAGCTTTCACCTTCTGACCCTGTAATGCTTCCAACTAAAAGGAACAAAGAAACCTAATCAAACATGAACCCATTGCTTGCACTTAAATTTGAACTTTCACTTTTACTAGTCAAATATGCTGGTAGATTATCACAAACCAACTCCACATTTGCTTTATTTACTCTTCATTGAAATCTTTCACTCTCATCTGCTTTAAAAAAAAAATAAAATCTTTCAGGATTTTATTGCCTAGAGCTTTCAAGCTCTTGAAGTAACCCTACTGCTCTAAGATTTATTATATGAATTAAAAGTCACTGGGATTTTTCCTAATGAAAAAGCTTTAAGAATTTACTTGAAATATTTTTTATGGTAATTATTCATAGGGTACCAGATGAAGCAACATTCCATTTTGCATTCAACTTCAGAGATTGTAACTCTTCACACAACAATGACAAAATAGGTCACTTCAAAAATAATTTCATATTTATTTCCATGAAACTACAACAGAAAAAATGAGCACAATAACACTACTTGAGAGCAAATTCTCAGCTACAGAATACTATTTCTCAATAAAGTCACCACAGCTAGCTATGCATTTTCACCAGCTATGAACAAGAACCTATATGCCATGCTCGTAAATATCTGCATAGCTGCCCAGAACATGGCTTGTCTTCACATCATTGTCACCACTAATGAAATGTACCACCCACCATTTCACTGTGCTCACATGCGCTTTTTGGTCTCCATAAATGTTCAGCAACCATTGATTAATGTCAATGGGTGCCATTTTTTTTCCACACAGAGGAGCTCAATTTCACCCCTTTGCTTCATACACACTTCCATGTCAGATGCTATCCTATTAGACTTCCTTTCTGCTGCCATCTGTCACACAGCATGTAGCAGAATATAGATGGGAATGCTCAGCCTCTACTGTCATACCACCAACATCCACATCTGATGTCACAAACCAACATAATAAAATAGGAGGCATCAGTTGCAGAGCAGCCCTTGTACATTCTACATCATATCTCCTGTAGTATGGCCAACTCTTTAGCAAGAGTCAATTGTAACTCAAACTCTGGTGAAGAAGTTTACTTTGCAGAAGAGCTGGTGTTGCCAAAGCCAGCTATAACCATTGCCATGATTAGAGTGAGATGACGCAACTTATATCTTTATGCTTAAAAGCCAGACAGACTCACTTGTGTATAATTTAAAAGAACGTTGTATGGGATGTACTGACACTTCATCAAAACCTTGAGCAAAGATGGGGTGCTGTAATTCCTCCCTATTATTTCAGCACTTTCCTCACATCCACTTAGCACAGAAAAGCAGGCAGTGCTTCCAAGGAAGCCATCCATGAGTCAATTTTCAATTTCTTCCCCAGCAGATATATCACAGAGATTTGCATTATTCCTAAAACCAACAACATCAATAGCTAGATACAAGGCTGTTAAATCTACATTTGTCAGAGATGAAAGTAGATCTATTAACTCAGGAATCAGATCTTAGGCTGTTCTTTCCAGCCCTCAAAATATTCAAGTGCCATTCTACCCTTTACCAACCTGCACAATAAATAACTGAGATACATTTTAATGACCAAATATATGCTCCTTGTTTTCTTGCCCCACAACACCTACCTACCAATTTCCCTTTACAATGAAAAAGACAAAAACAATAACCATGTAATTGTTTTCTTACTTTCCAAAAATCACCTCATTTTTCTCATCACCACTTAGCTGTTAACAGTGAGTCTCCCTAATGGCCCTAATAAAACTCATTCCCTGAATTACTCTGTGAAGAACACATTACGAAAATGATTTGAGTATAGCTTACTGACATGCCCAAGCATTAAATCTACTGTGACCTGTACATTTTTGACATACATTTGACAGTATGATAAGCAGCAATCCCCACTGTAATTTGTAGTCATACAAAGTGTTTGATATGTATAATAAGTGAAATGAAAACATCTTGCAATTCCTTCTGGAGATAAGACCGCAGAAAGAACTGACAGCATTGTGTGATGCTTTTCATGCTGTTGTTGGCGTTGTATTTTCCCAGCTGCATTATCAGATGGGAACTGGTGGTTCCCACTGGAAACTTCACTTTAAATTTTACCATCAGTGAAGACACTGAAAAATTCTAAGTTGTGTTTACTCATGCCTCAAAGACAAAAAAAAAAAAAAAAGAGGATTACAGTTTTCAAAAGGAAAGTACCTACCTAGTTTTCAGAGTAGCACTATCCTGAAAACAGTCAAGACAGCAAACACCATTGAAATTAATGAATGACAGGAGTTTAGAAAGAACTGAACAAACATGTCAGAAACTTTATGCTGTGATTGAATGGGTATGAACCTCAACCTTGTAAGGCATTCAAAAAATTGTATGCTCCTGCATTTTTTTTTCTTTTTTTTTTTCTTTAGTACAACCCCAGGGAGTTACATAACTCTTCCCTACCACACAAAAATACCTGAACTTAAGTTTATAAGCACAACACGTCCTGAAGACAGACTCATACAAATGTTCTGAGAGTAACACTAAACAGATTACACTCAACTATCATGGGGTATAAGATGGTACTTATTCTGCTTTCTAACTTGCTGCTGTAGGAAAAATACAGTGTCTTAAAAGAACATCCAGAGTTGGGTAAAATGACAAAGGAAAAATGAGCAAACCAAACAAGTGAAAAACACAATAAGACTGACACTGTAAGAAAAGTTTTATAACGTTACCTACGAGGCATTTACAGAAAAAAAAATATCCTTTCAGATAACAGATTTTGAACAAATGCCACAGAAAAATGGTCTTCCAGGACTACTCTAGAAAGAGGCAGTATTACATCTTCCTTTCTCCCTTCTTTTTCATTTTAAGCTTCTTATTTTCATGATTAACTTTAGGATACAAGAAAGGGAAACAAAATATATCCCCAGATAACAAGAATATAGTATAAGATAGATCATGGGAAAAGTACAATCATCATAAAGAACAGCATTATTAAATTAACAAGAAAAAAAATCACTATCACTGGAAGTTATCCCAGTTAGTGATATTGGAAGCAAATGACTAAGCTACTTACGATTAGAATCAAGAAAAAAAGGTGTGTTTTTATAAACATATAGAAAATAAGTCTGAGCTGCCCGTTTGCATATTTGAAACAGCTAAAAGCAGCAGTAGTTAGTATTTTCTGGTAAAGATAGCAACAAAAACAGTACAGCTGTAACTGAAGAGAGTTGAGATAATGTAAGGCAATACAGATTCTATTGGGTTAGATCTAGCCACGTGCTCACAATCCAAAAAGCAAGTGACAAATAGCTGAATCTATGCCTTCATTAACACATAGACACATACCTTGCTTGCAAAAGAGGGTAAACTCATGATATATAACCTCATGATAATACTACAGTTCTGAAACAAACAGAAAGTATTATTTTGGAATAAAAAATAAAAATCTTGTTTCTTAGGTGTATGTAACCTCTCCAGGGATGCCCAATGAAGCTGGGCTGTGTATAAGTTTCAACAGTTAAACAGTCAATAAAAAGACACAAACCTGCCTTTCCCTTTTGTGTCACCTCAGTAATCTGCATTGTACATATTCCTCTGCATTTAACATCATGCAGTTTTCAATGGCAAAAGGACATACAATAAAGTCCATGCATTTTGCAGATGCTACTCAGATTTTAAGATATATCAGTTCTGACCAGTGGAAGAAAGGAAAAAAAATTCCATTGTAGACATGTCTCAAGTCCTTTAATGCTGAAAGCTAAAATGGAATGTCAAATCTGGTATATGTTCTTCTGTTGGACATTCAATTTGCACAGACATGCAACGTACCTAAAGCACACATTACGTCAAATCAGACTTTTAGTCTGGGGTAAGAAACAAGAGCTGTTACTTCAGTGCATCAGGGTATCGAGCCCTGACTGTCTCATCCCATTGAGGAAAGATGGAGAGATGGCAGGCTGATTGGAGTCCTGAGGCAGAGAAAGACTACAGATGGCAACATTTTTGTCCTATTTTTTTTTTCCTGTCTTGGCACATATATTCAACTAATGGTAATTTTCAAGATCTCAGCTCCTATCGAAGATTCAGACAAAGAATGAGGAAGAGTGAGGATAGCCCAGCACCTGTTTCTCTCCACCCGAGTTTCCAAACGTGTGGCGGAAGCCATTCTGTATGACATTTGAGATCCCTTCCATGCTGAAGCGCTAAAGGTAGTGAAAACATGGCGGAGAAAAAAATGGACAGAGAAAAGTTCAGAAGGCTAGCATTGATCAGCATTTATCACAACGATAAAAGTAAGACAAATGACAAAGACAAGCACTAAGACGCATTTCAGCACATTTCTACTTCTTTCATTCATCCACTAAGTTTTCATTAATAAAAAGCAAACCTTACGGTATCAGCTGAACAGTATTTCTACGTCAAATTTAATTAAACAAGATCTTTCACACTTCAGACCCAAAATTCGTATTTTTGAGACTTGTATTTTAAGGTTTGCCATTTCATTTCTCAACACTTAAAGTTTAATTCACAGTACAAACTTTCTTTAAAGCTTATGTTTGAGCAATACATTTCTAGAGACAATACAGACACTGCTGATATCAGTTTTACAGATTTCTATTAGAAATATTTCTCAGAGGCAGTCATTTTACTTCCAACCTCTTCAAAAAATTTTATGCTTCCTTTTTCCACTCCTGAAGCAACAATTAACTATCACCTGTATTCCTCATTTTTTTTTTTTTTGGTCAGATGAAATATGCACAATTGGTTAATAAAGCATTCATATTAATTTCAAGCTCCATTACACAGAACCCAAGTGAGGAAAAATTAATACACAATCCAACCACAGTTTTCTTCACACATATTATAATCCTTTTTGCTTGCAGGAAAAGATGATTAAAAAAAGAAACTGGAACAATTTTGACATTCAGGATTAAATGTAAAACGTAGCAACTGGCAAGAACATAAAAAGAAGAAACTGCCAAGCTGCTGACAGAGGGCAAGCAGTACGGTGTGCACACCTGAGCACATTTATCTAAATGTATATATTTATGGGAAGAGAAGAAAAATGTGCTGGAACACTGGATTCATTTGCTTTCCAAAGCGCAAAAGGGTCAGTAAATAAAGACACAGATTTTACCAAAGCCATTTTGAGTCTTCCAGGAAATTCTGCTTAAAGTAACTGGTATCTTCATGACTTGAGTATTTTTCATTACTCTCACTATGTGCTTGTGAAATAAGAGTTAGAAGTATGAGAAAATGACTTACCCAAAGTCCGTATCAATGACAAAGAATTACAACTTGTATTCGTTCAAATTCAAATGATGTATCCATAGAAGAACTGATTTTCTCAGAATATGAAAATGTAATCCTATTTCCTATTAAATCCTATTAAAGTTTTGTATTTAAATGAGACTTCAGCATAGCTTCAGCTAATAGGTAATTAACTTTATTAACAAAAGCTCACTCTTCACAAAGTAATCCAAACATACTACTTATATACACACTCCTTGCACTTCCTTGGAAAAAAAAAATAAAAAATTGAAGGAAGAAACTTGTTCCTTTGTTTCTGACTGAACGTTTCCAGATCTGTATAGATAGTGGAAGCTGTTTTCAAAGGAACCATACTTAATAAGCCTACAGTCTATCTGGGAGATAATCAGTTCAGCTCATCTAAGGAAGTAATCTGATATGTACAGCTTGAAGCAACCAAACCTGAGAATGTTTTATAACAGAACCAATACTTTGGCTCTTGAAAGCATTATTCAAGCCTCTAAATAATCAGAATAAGTAATGAATCACCTCAGTCAAGTTTTAAAATCAAGTAAACAGTTTTTTTTTCCTAGTTAGAATACCACTTTTTCCTCATCAGCGATTGAGAGCCAAAAAGGAGTACATCTCCACTCTGATTTGCTGTTGCAAAGAGACAAAAATTCCATATTGCTTTCCAGACACCCACTTTCTCCGAGTTCCATTAAAACTCAGCTAGACACACAAAGAATGGTTTTTCATCTGGATTGGTAAAGATTTTCAAATTTACATAGAATACTCATAGTATAAATGGCAAAGATCAGCACAATTCCATGTAAAGATGCAAATGTATCAGTTTACTATAATTTAGTAAACTGTAGATCTTAACACAAGGCTTAGCAAATTTGTCCACAGTTTTTTTTTCCACTTGAGGAACAGGAAAAACAGAGACCAAATTAGATCTACTGGTACAACACCAGCCAGGAAATCAGAACTGCTTTCTGTCAGGACCCGTCTTTTGGACAAGATGAACAACTACTACGTTTGGATTGTATCACAATTATCCCATTCCCATAAGTTTCTAAGGTAGATTTTGAAGAATTAATGTTCCATGACAAATGTTTATTCATTTATGTTTGAAAAATGAACTTCTCCAGCAAAACTGAAGCATTCTCTGGGGCTAAGCCAGACCCACAATACCTCAGCTACATTTTCTGTACTCCATAAGAGAAGTTCAGGAATTCTAATAATGTCCCATTTCAAATTACACTGAACAGATAAGACAAAATTACATCGACAAGATAACGACCTAATTTCTCTCACTGCTTGCCTCCTATTTTTCAAAGTCGGTTTGAAAGACATTTCTCCTTAGAAAAAAACAAGTTTTTTTGTTTATTTCCTCCCTATACATCTGCATTAAATATTGGCCTTACCTCAATCTGTTATTGGAGGTAACAACTTTGATGCAGGTTTCAGAGACTCAGGGCAAGATTTACTTTTTCTAGCCCCAGGTCAACATGATTAATAAATATCTGAACAGCTCCATCAATAATACTGGATTTCCTATAGGACTAATTGTGGTAAACATACTGAAATTCACACTGTAAAACCAAATGAAACAGATGGATGAGCTTGCCTAACCTGATAATAGAACACAGCACTACATCAAAATACAGCATTATTGGCAAGAAAGATATCCTGATTGCAGGCAAATGTGCAAACATCTTATTCTTAATAAGAAATGTAGAAGAGCAAAATGTTGTATCTATATATGGGAAAAGATTTTAAAAAATTGGAAGTGTCTAAGAGTCTTGTTTGTGAATGAAGGCATGAAAGATGTATCAGTTATCTTGGTCTAATCAAGGGCTATTACTTTTCCAAGAGAAGAATGAAAAATATTTTGAATTTAACAACAGTTATAAATATATTCTTATTATAAACATATTCTTACTGTTCCAGGCATATGACCTCTTTCTTGCTTCCCATTCTGAGGGCTACCATTTTTCAGCTTCTTTTTCTTCTTTGCTGTTTCTTTGTGCTCTCTCTGTTTATTCTGTACTTCGATGAGGACAGAAATGAAGCTGTTTTTCACTTCCTTCTCGAACTCCAACTCATCCCGCAGTGCCAACTGCTGCACCAGCTCCTCAGAATAATCCTTAATAGCAGTCTCAATTTCTTCTAGCAGTTCATTTAACTCAGCAACAGACAATCTTTTTACTCCTGTAAATAGTTAACAGAAAAATGCAATCAGTCAAGATTCTAAGCAGGAGACATGAATGCGCAGGATGACATGAAAACAATACTTTGACTTTTTTCAAAACAACAAAGTACATTCTAAAACTACACAAAACAAATCCATATTCATAAAGGAACAAGTTCATCATAGAAGAAACTAGATTAGTAAGAAGTGAACTTTAAACTTTCTGCTTAGTTCTGAGAAATCTGATATAATCCACTAATACGAGGGGCACGCTGTAGTTAAGGAAGCTGAAATAACCACTAGACTTGGAATACTGACATCCTTGTTAACTATTGCTTTCCTCCTGCACCCACTCTTCAGAAGATTTCTCCATATTTTCTTCCAAAGCAGTCAACACTTCGGCACTGCTGGAATTCTTGGATTTTTCACTTACAGTAACACAGAAACTAAGCATGCTCTGAGTGAGGGGATCCTCCTAGGGTTGCTGGCAAGGCATGCAGACATCTTAATAGAAACAACAACATGCTTTTATGATAAGATGCATTTAGTACAGGGAAAAAAAAACCCAAAACACTAGCTTCCAAGTTTCTTTGTCTGGGGATTGTAATCAAAAGTATTGCCTGAAACAAACGCCTAGAATTAAAACTATCCAGTAGGCTCATTTCAAGCAAAAATCAGTACTGATGATTTTGAGAAAGCACAAGCCTAAATTGGTGAAACCTACACCAGAAGCCTTTAAAAATGACAGTTCAGAAACTAAACCAACCCTTCAGATTTACATTTTAAAAGTACTACTGCTACAGACAATGAGCTATGACCACGAGGATCTCTCGAGGCTCACTTCAGCTCAACCTGAAAAAGCTTTTTGAGGACTGCTTTTTGTTTCAGAACTCAAAATAACATCTGGCATGTCTATGAACTAGTAAGTCCCAGATGCTATGTCAAAGAACGTCACTTTCACTGGCATTTGAAAAACAGGCAGTCCTGATTACAACGAAGAGCACAATCCATTTAAAGACACTGCATATGTCTTCATGCATTGTGTTTGTAATTACTTGGTTATGTTCCATTAGTCTAGTAAACTCTTAGACAGGTGAGTACTCATGGGCAAATGCTGAAAAATACAGATAAATTCACAAACTACAGTACAGTACAGTTCTCAGAAGCATCAAAATGTAGTAGGTGAATTTCTCTCTTAAATTAGAGCAGGGAAAAATGATTGATTTGGGAAAGCTCCCTCTCACTTACCAAAGAAAATGCAATTAAACCTCTTAGGGCAATGAGCCTCAGTTTTTTCAGAGTAGCTTAGGTCTTACATTCTGCTAGAAGACTAACAGCACAGTAAGAGCACAGTACAGAATGGCAAAGGCTCTAAGCTTCAAGTAGATTGAACTGAACAATTCAACACATTTCCCATCCAAGAAAAGAGCAAACACAAGCTTTGATTTCTTGCTCTTAATCCTAAAGATTAACACCTCTGACTTGTTCTACACAAGCCAGACTAAGCTTCCAGGAAAAACCTGTGGCCTGCAAAATTCAACAAATTCAGAGAGATGCTGACAAAACTTGGAAGCAGCCTTGCAAATGAATAAAAGGTAGCAAAAGCTTTTCATAAAACAGTGAAAGGTGTGAAAGCTGATTCTGAGGAACTGGTGAAGAAAATTAAATTATCTGACGAAAGAAACTCAAGAATTATTTGGTCAAGGCTCATTTTTAAGCCATAAAGATGCAGCAAAGAAGATGCACCAGAGAAGATGATATTTATTTTCCTTTTCCCGAGGCAAGGCAAAATAAATATGGAATGAAATACAAAGCAAGCTTGATTAGCTCTAAACCTAAGGACATATGGAACTGTCAGAAGAGCAGGAAGCCCTGCTGTGCAGGATATGCTACGCTTTCACATTCCTGAGATTTATGTGTTAAGACAGCTACAAGTCCAACCATGAAAATGGAATCTCCTCCATAAATCTGAAATGTAGCAGAAGCTGTAAGGCATGTCACAAAAGGTCAGCTGGTTTTCTGAATCATCTGTAGAATTTATACTGCTGACCCAGACTATGAGAAAGAAAGCACCAAACTCCTATCTCTTTCAAGTACAGATTTCAACTAGCAGATTAATCAAATTTCCATCACGAAATTGATTAATCAGATTTATGTTTACAAGCAAATCAATATGTTTTGCTTGCATTATATATGTATTTTCTCCTTTTTTATAGAAAATTGCAAATTTCCTTTGTGCAGTAGAAGAGGAAGCATTTTTTCCTCTTATGGTTTTTTGAAAGGGAATGGCAAGGGTGGAAAGGGTTGTGGTCCTCAGATAGTAAAAAAGCAATGGTTTCTTACTTTTGTGTTGCTGTGTATCAAGATTAGTTGCAATGACTGAAACAATACTAATGAAAACCCATTTCTTCATCTACAGTATAGCTTTCAAGAGCTTTAGCTAATCTCCTTAAACAGGAGCAGTACAAAGGCCTAAGAAAGCACCTCTCTTCAGAATATGTAATTTAATAAATAAAAATTATAGGCATCCCATTATCTATGAAAGGATTTCATTACAGCAAATTGAGCTCCAACACATAAATTCTATACAGTTCCATTTTCATTCTAAGTTAGGTGAGCTGACAAAGATATGTCTTCTATTTACATCCTAAATCTACTCTCTCCTTTTGGGAGAAATCCAATATTTTCAAAATATTCCTGGATGCAGATTTTTCATAAGAGGAGTCACTATAAACGAAGTATGTGACAAGCTTATCTATTAAGCTATTTTCAACAAGTCTATTTCAATAAGACTGATTTTCAGAAACCATTTTTTAGAACAAAACACTAAATAAACAGCACTTACTCTCCTCGTAGCTGTTGTTTGTACTGGATCTCTTGAGTGTTTGAATTTCCTGGGAAAGCATGGAGAGACGGTCGGACTGAGTAGGTGTTTCATCATCTTCGGGATCAGGAGATTCCTGCATCATTTCTTCTATTTCTTCAATCACCTTCAAAAAAAGACAATCCTTATGAGAACTCTCACTGCAAGAGACACAGCTTGCAATCTGAAGCAAATCAATTTAGAAATCGTTATTATTATTGTTATTATTTACTTTCAAGTAGTACAGATGTTGCTAAGTGAAACTCATACTGTATGAGACAGGGTTCAGGAGAATGAATAAAACCACACTGATGTTTCCTACCCATCCTTTGGGAATAAGTGCATCTTTTCAAGCTACTCTGGTAGTTGTGTGGTGATCTCAATACAAGCAGTGTGTTGAAAACACCAAGCTATTTCCACATGAAGGTACACAAAGCTCTGCTTAAGAGAAGTGAAGTGTATGCTGGAATATTTTCCTGGAGGGTTTGGTCAAAGGAAAACAAAACAGCAACAAAGTCAATGAGGTTTTTTTTTTTTAATACTCTCAAATTTCACTACATTTCTCTAAGCAAAACTCTTGTGTACTTTTATGGATGACACTTATAGAGAGAACTCAGTGCACACGGAACAAAGACGACATTTAAAAACACCACCCAAAATCATCTACTGTGAATGGAATTCTGTGTTCTCAGCTCTTTTAAGTCTGAATGTTTTTCTCCTTATCACTGCTAACACAGCAAAATGTTCCTGTTAATCCAGCACTTGGATCAGAATGGAAGATCTTGACGACATGATTAGCAGAAAAAAAAACAGTACTATCATTTCTTCAGAGCCATCTAAACCACAACCCTTTTTTTTTTCTTTTTTTTTTTTTTGCTATTACATTATACTGAATATATTAGATTGCATTTGCTTACTAAAGTGGGGTGGACATTAACTTTACTCAAAACAGCAATTCTGAATAGAGCATAAATCCACTGATTTAGAAAAGAAGCCTTTAGATACCAAGTAATGTAAACTCCTATTAGCAGAACTGTTATTTTGCTCTCATACAGGCAAAAACTTCAGAGAATTCTCACTAGTCACAAAGCCACATGCAGATATGAATACCCACATTGTCAAGCTGGGAAACTACAAACATTACAGTAATCTTAATATATAAAAAATGTTTTGGCTTCTTAGCCCATGTATTTAATTTAGTAGATTTTCTGACTTATTCCTGACAAGAAGGGTATAAAGATTTCAAGACCCTGACTATCTTACCGACCTCCTCTGAAGCACTGGAATATCTTTTCAAATCTGAAGGATATTAATAATATCACACACATTACAATGACTCTAAAAAAACAACAACAAACAAACAAACAAACAAAAGCCCCCAAACCAAAACCAATCAAGAAAGCTAGCTCCTGTAAGCAGCAAGGAAGAAGAATACAACATAATCACAGGTGAAAAGAAAATACTACAATATCACCACCGTGCTGAAAAATGTACCTGTTCCGCTGTGAACAGTGGTTCATCATTGATGCAGGAAACAATGATGGAATGCATATCCAGCTGTTCTCTCAGCTCTTCATCATCTGACAGGTCAAGGTTTAAGTTATCATTTACCTAGAAAGCATGAAAATTGACCACACACACACACAAATAAAAACACATATACAGAAATTACAAAGGAAACAAAAGGGGAACTAATGTAGAGTTTCACAAACAAAACATTTTCCTTGCCCATAATACTGGTATGAATGCTTTTTGCTGTCAAGCATGCAGAAACTGAAGCATCTTAACCACTGAAATAGTTAAGAGAGGCGTCACTCTTGAAAGATGAAGAACTCAGCAATTAAAGACCACATACACAACGTCACGTAGATATCTGCATTGGGCTGACAGCTTTCCCTACAGATATTTAAAACAGGCAGTTGCCTTAAAAGAAGGCTGACGTTATTCAGCGTGGAGTGGAAACCTACGTAGAACAAATATTAAACACCTGTGATTTTATGTGCTTTTAGAGTTTTATTTTTTCACATAATGAAAGCAATATAAAAAACTGTTCTAAAAATAGAATGTTTCCTTAAGTCTCCTCCTTCAACAATCACATATATTTTACTCTCATACTCTGCCATATTATAGCTTATTTACAAATACTTTAATATTTACAAATACCATTCTTTTTCTGCATTTTGTCTGTTATCACATTCCAGCCAAAACAACCTAGAAAAGCTAAAGTCATCTGAAAACACACAATTTATATTTCTTCAGGCATCAGAAAGAAGGCGAGCGTCCTGTTTTTTTCCAGAATCTGGACTAACCACGCAGTCACAGGCCTCCACTTGGAACATCTGCTCACCCACCACACAGACACATCTCAGTTATGACATATGTTCACGTCTGCAGTCCTGAAACGGTCAACGTCTATGAGATGGTAAGCAAGGACAACAGCACATCCAGAAGGAGGTCAGCTCCTCCTTCCTCACATCCCCACAAATATTTTAGGAGACTCAGAATATAATCTGATGGTTAAGCTAAAAAACCAACTAGAACAGCCCAAAGCATAGCTGACACTAACCTGGCAGTGCACCCAGTCACACTGCGTGCCCATTTCAGGCCCCACACTCCCACTCCTTGCACTGGCAGCTTCAGCTTTTGTACCTGCTGAACAGACCAATTCAGGCAGCGACACGTCTGGAAGTAATCTAACAATAATATAATAACAGCAATTACGCAACCCCGTTCCTTGCACCACTGCACAACACTTCCTCCCAGCTTCCCCTTTCGCTGCCAGAGCTACATAAAAGTATTCAGAGATCTGTGATGTCGAAGCAACAAAGATTTGATGAATCAACCTCATTCACCTTACGTTTTCACCTCCTAGAAGAGGAAGAAGCTCAAATCCAATGGCATATTACTAGCTTCAAACACATCAAAGAAGCATTACTTAGCTGTTAGCATTATTAAGTAAGAAAGTTAAAACAAGCTACTAGCTGATCCATATGTGCTGTCACATATCCAGAAGTACTACTGAAACAGAAGTAGGAAAAGAAATAGTGCTGAATGCCTCCAAACAGATGGGCTTCAGACATCCAAAGGCATGCCAGGTGGACTGGAAGCTGAAAAAACTTGAGCTATGTTTATTTCATAAACCAATTTCTTTTCTACTTCCAGCATACCTAAGATTCTTTATAATCCAGCAATACAGTTTCATATTTATGTAGTTCCTTCAGAATTTCCTTACAAAAATTCCATTCAGTATTTGTATATTGTAACTGGTTATTTATTAAGAAATCAACCTTCCACTCCACTGTTTCAGTCACATAAACACAAACACAGCACAGGGGGCTGCAACTGCTTTTAACTTTAAATATAAGGATTTAATTACTTTAAAATCACTTAGAAAGTCGGAGCATGCTATTAATAAAAATTAGAATATATTCAAGTCAAAAAAATCAAGAGATAATCATCAGACTCCAACAGAGAAAGACAGAGACTCTGCAAGGGAAGATGGTGAAATGTGTTTTTTTTTTTTCCTTTTCCTTTTTCTTTTTTTTTTTTTTTCTGCTATCCTTTTCACTAGAACAATCACTGCTCTTGTCAGCATAAAAGTACCTATGGATTCTTTAATGGATGGCAGAAATCAAAGCATTAATCTATTCTCAGGTTACACACTGAGATATTTTTACAACGTAATCCAACTTCACCACGCTTAAACAACTTGTTCCCTCAGAAGACCTGAGAGATGAGAATTCTTCCTAGCTTTCTTCCTCAAGTGTTTTAATCCATGTGTAAGAAGCTCAGAGGACAACCTCTGCCATGAACCTCACCGAAGCTCTTCCTTCTCCAGGAAACTATTCATTTGTTAAATAAGAAAACAGAAACAGAACTAAGTTGCACTTCTGTTCTCCTTGGTCAATTTTCCCATTAAAGAATCACGTCAGTCTCCAAATGAATGCAGATTGAGATCAACTTTTAAAAAGTCCATACAAGATTTACTGAATCAGAATACTCCTTTTTTCCTCCCTTACCCAGAACATCTTTCAATATGAAATGAGGAGAAAGTGCTTCAGGTAAACTGAATTGTACAACTGTCTACCATGCTGTGCTCTAAGTAGCACTGGCCTCCAAAGGCCTCCTTTTAACCCCACATCACTTCAACCCAAGCAGAAGCAAACATACATCAACAATTGTTTTTCTCATGTCTAATATTAAACAGCCTCAAGTCTAATATCAAGCAAAATATTTTAATCTATTTAGTAGCAACAGTACTTTATACAAATGCAAATTGCTTTATTTCCCTGCTGAGTGTAAGAGATTCAAAAAGGGTACTTCTGCAGATTGCAACTTACCCCTTTTTCTGAAAGGTTCAGAGTTGGCAAGTGCAAAGCTCTGGTGTGGGAAGATTTCCAGTCAACCGGCATTACGTTTCCATAATTATCAGTCAAAGCATTCCAAATCCTGGAGAAAGGAAAAGAGGAATTAAAACGTACAGCGTAACACAGTAAGCATACCTGTAATGGAAATATCTTTCTGCCTATGAGTATCAATTTTCCTCCCTAAATATTCACCTGCAATTTACTGACAATATTTTTATCATGCACTGGAGTCAAGAAGCAAAGTTTTTTAAATAAACATCAATTATTTCTCATTTTAAATCCAAAATTTAGGCAGAACAGTAAAGTAAAGCAAGGTAAAAAAATAAAGAAAAAAAAAGTGACAGCCTTATTGCTAATAATATAACTCCACTCAAAACCTTCGTGGGGAGTGGGCAAGTGGGCAAGGCTTTCCCTACTGAAACTTGAGATCAGCTAGAAATTCTTTTCCTACAGTTGTCCCTGTCTTCCTTGCCTCCTGCAGATTAAAGCCAAGAAGTAGCAGAGGCTGAGTCAAAGTAGCAGAGGCTGAGAAGTAGCAACATCTGAGTCAAACCTGTATTTTTACAGCTTGCATTAGCTTTCATAAAGCTTTTTTCCCATTTATCACAGAAAAGCAAAGATACAAAGAATTTTGCTTTATCCAGCAGTACTCTTGCTGACCACAGCTCACCACTCTTCTTTACAGCTCATCTTAATCATTCCTGCATACAAGCAGCTCGCACAAGCAGTCCTACTCTGGTACAGCAGTTCAGATCTTGGACTGCCTGGAAGCACTGCAATGTGGGTGCGTGTCTGGAGCGGTTGCATAGCCAGGCTCATAGGGCTCAGCACTGAGCAATGCCTCTGACTCACGGCTCAGTGATGACCTCCCTGCTGGTACCAGATAGCCAGGCATCTGCTGAGGGGCTTTTTTTGCCCCTTCTCTTGGAACAGGGCACCCAACCGACTTACCTCAAAGTAAAAGAAACACCGCAGTGTTCCTAATGAAGTTACTTGAGAGTGAAATTTGCCATAAGGCGTAGCAACTCTTAAAATGAAGTTAAAAGCAGGAAGGCAGCACAGGCCTGAAGCGCTCCGTTGCTGAGGGAAGAAAGCAACGACCACGGCTGCAAAACTCGGAGGTGCCGTTCCCACACTTTCCACGCGTGATTCCAAACGTGCGTTCGGCCAGAAGCCAGACTAACCGGGGACCCGGCGAAAGCGGAGTGCAGCGTTAGGCCCGTGTCCGGAGGCCCAGCGGTGCAGCACAGACGGGCACCGCGGTCCCCGCCGTTCCCCCTCGGCCGGACCGGGCCTCCCCATCCTGCCGGAACGCCGCCGCCCCGCTCCCCCTCTCCCCGGGCCTGCACTCACTCGTCGTCCTGCAGCGCGCTCTGCTCCGTGAGCGGCCGCAGCGGAACGCGGCTCTCGCCGCAACCGGCAGCGCGGGCCGGGGGGGGCTCGAAGCAGAGGGACAACTTCGTTCCCAGATCCCATCCGCCTTTGTCACCTCTGGCGGTTTCGGGAGCGCTCCCCGCCGAGGGCTGGAACCCCGAGAAGTCCTGCCAGTCCCCCGGGTCTCGCTGCGAAGCCGCCGCCGCCATCGCCGCAGCTGGAGACGCCGGGCTGCGCGCCCCCGGTCACGACTCCGGGCGCCGCGCGCTCCCGGCGGCTCCGCGGGGTTCGGGGGGGAGGCGGGGCGCGTGACGGGCCGCGGTGGGCGGTGCCTTCGTGCCTTCGTTCCGGCACGGCCGAGACGGAAACTGCGGCCGGCGGAGCTACGGGGCGCTGCTGGGACAGCCGGAGCCACCCGCAGCCGCCCGGTGGGATTCCCGGCTGCTCCGTGCGGGGACCCTTCAGCCCTGCTCAGTTCGAGGCGCTCACGGCACCTCGCTGCCTGCCCAGGAGTGGTGGCTCCCTGAGGTGCCCGCGTCGTCGCTCAGATGCGGTGGAAGCAGAGGCGCTTTAAAGGAGTTCTGCCAGCGTCGCTGAATCGAAGTGACAGCCGCAGGCCTGAGGCTGCAGTAGTCGCAGATAACCCGAGCTAGAAGGATAATCGAGTCCAACCGAGGATCATCCGACCCCCGGCTCCGCTCAGCACCACCCGACGTTCAAACCCGATGCCTGAGCTGTCCAAGAGATATTCCAGAGTGTGCCATGCTCAGTTTTGAGCCCCTCAGTATGGGATATGTAGGGGGTCAAATGTGTCCAGAGAAGAGCAGTGAAGCTGGTGAAGGGACTGGAAAACCAGCACTTAGGAGCAGCTAGGGAAACTGCAGCTGTTCAGAGAAAGCAGGCTGAGGGGAGACCTAGATCCCCCCAGCTGCCTAAAAGGAGCTTGCAGTGAGGAGGGTGTTGGCCTCTTCTCACCTGGCAAGTGATGGGACATAAGGCGACAGCCTCAAGTTGCACCAGTGGAGGGTTAAGTTGAATATCAGGAAGAATTTATTTCATAGTGAGGGTGGTCAAGCATATCAAGCATAGGAACAGGCAGTATTTAAGAGATGTGTGGATATAGCACTAATGTTTAGTATTGGGGCTCAGTAGGTTTGGTGGATAGTTGGACTTGATCTTCTTTCCAACCTCAATCACTCCGTGTTTCTAAGTTTCTCTGCTTAGCTTCTCTCATTTGTGTTCAGTCTTGCTTAGGTTTCTTTTCATTTTTCCCACTTGGTGTTTAGAAAGAGACAAAGCATCTCTGTCCTACATAGGCATTTCAAATGTAATTTTTTCTGATACTGATAGTACTGCAACAGAGGCCAGGACTGCTTCAAGTGTTCAAACATGGATGCACCATCATTTTTTACGTTAGCATAGAGTTATTTCCTCTTCTATGCAGATGAAAAAATGAATTCTTCACAGGCAGCATTTAAAAACACTGCTCAAGAAAACAGCCTTCCATAGGCATAGTCAGGAAAGAGCAAAGATGCTAGATCAGGCAAATATGTAAATGAATGATGCAAGGGATGGAACACCTCCCCTTTTAAGGACAGATTGAGACCTGGAGCTGTTCTGCCCGAAGAAGAGAATGCTCTGGGGAGACCTGAGAGTGGCCTTCCAGTATCTGAAGGGGAGTTATAAGAAGTAAGGGGACTGCCTCTTTATTAGAGTCTGTTGTGACAGGACAAGGGGAAGTGGTTTAAACTGAAAGAGGGCAGTGTTAGGTTGGACATAAGTAATAAGTTTTTTTACAGTAAGGGTGAAGACCAGGTTGGATGGGGCCTTGGGCAGCCTGATCTCATATTAGATATTGAGGTTGGCAGCCCTGCCTGTGGCAGGGGGTTGGAGTTTGATGATCCTTGTGGTTCCTCCCAACCCAAGCCATTGTATGATTCTATAATTCTGTGATTTTTAGGGTGGTGAGGCACTGGCACAGGTTGCCCAGAGAGGTGGATGCCACGTCCCTGGAGACATTCAAGGTCAGGCTGGATGGCGCTCTGAGCACCCTGATGTAGCTCTAGGTGTCCATGTTCACTGCAGGGGAACTGGATCAGATGGCACTTAAGGATCCCTTCCAACTCAAACAATTCTATGATTCTATGAAGCCCTTAAAGCTCTGATCCCACAGCCCTTCTACGGGACCTTGTGTCACAGTCCTGTGTGATTGACTGTGGCAGGTATGGCTGAACCAGATGGAGTCAAAATCAGAAAGAACTTTATTTTTGATTGCACTTCAGTGAATGCTGAAACTATTTGGAATGCCACAAATCCCTTCAGTGTGAAAATTCTTTAGTGTAGAACCCAGAGCTTTCTGTAACTGCAAACATTTCTTCACCCACAGTACTTTCTGAACCGTTCTGATTGAAGACAACAAATGACTCACCATAACATAAAGATATAAATGAATGTCTCAAGGACTAGCATGAGGAAGTAGTAAATAAGAAGATTTAAGAAAACAGACATCGGTAGGTTTAAAATTTTTTTTTTATTGTGCTGCCAAGAGCCAAATTACAAGAAACCGCCTTACAGTTAAAAAAGTAAACAAGCAATCTGCTGAACCGCAGTGCACTCCGAGTGCCACATATGCATCTATTTTTCAGAAAATTATATCTGCATTTCTCTTACAAGAGCACAACAGGAACCAAAGTAAAAGAGTGTAATGGATACAGCACATAGGATAAATCATATCTTTAAAATAATAATAATAAAATAATAATAATAAAAAACATTTTACACCATGTCCTATATCCTGCTAATATTTTCAGAATATGGCCTTGATTGTAAAACAAAAGCAAGCATTTACAATTTCTGGATAAAGACTGCTTACTCTTATGCAAGGAATGGATGTCTTGTCTTGACAAAATCTTTGTAGTAAGTGGACAGAAACGTCTCTGTTTCAATATCAGATTAAGTACAAAACACTGGGGAGACCACATTTTTTCTTATTGGTGGTTGGAAATGGAAGTTACATAAGCAGAAAAAATGTTGACCCTTGATGATACACCTATTTTTTGCTTTGATGCAAACAGCTAGAACACCTTTTTGATATTCTAAAACAAACAAAAAAATTGTTAATCTTCAGATTAATAAATTAGGTCATTATAATAATAAATTAGGTTTTTTTTTTCTTTTCAGTTTTTAAAGTTCAGCAACCTCTGACCAAGTATTTACAACAATACTTGAGAGTTCCTTTACAAAAAATACATTTTCTTTTCACATTAAGCATACTGGGTATCTGTGTCTCTTATGACAAGCATTTGTAAAAGAAAAAAGGCAATGCACAAATGGGTAATTAGTATAAAAGTGCCAAGACCTGTTTGGAAAGTTAACATTGTATTATACAGCCAGAGTTATAAATGAGGCAAGCTACAACAAACTTCCAGCTTAATGTGGACAATATTCCAGTAGTTGTTTCAAACAATTGTTTGAAAAAAACAAAACAAAACAAAACAAAAAAAAAGAAATAAAAGAAAGAAAAAAAAAAAAACCAATAGAAAATCCAGGAGCTGATGCTGTTATTCTATGGAGCTGATTAGTGCTGCATGTATATTGTCATCAGTGTCTCTAGCCAATGCATTCATTAAAAAGCCTTTTTAAGGCTAAGCAGGAAAAGAAAAATAAGAAACACCCTGAAATGTAGCAAGTAGCAAGAGCAACGCTTACTGCTATAATCGTGCACGTACTGTACACACGCAAACACAAGAGTGCACACACACACACACGCACACAAACACTTTCAAATCAAATCAAACTGTAGGTAGAATGAGATGCTCTTTTCTCGTCTTTTCTAAACTCACAAGTGATTAAGCACTGATATGGAATGCCTGTTTATCTGTTTTTGCTCTGGGTAAAATCTCTCTCAGATAAAAATACATTCAACAAGAAAAAAAAAATAGAAAAAATATATACTGTATACATAGTATTTTATATATACAGTATATATACGTATAGTGTACATACACATGCATGTATATATACATACGTATACCTACATGCATTTGTATATACATATATATACACAAACATACAAATACTTTTTGTTGTTTTTAGCATAATTATATTTACATAAATATTCCTATAATGCTAAAGTTTAAAGAAGCATGATCTCCTTTTTTTCTGAGCTTCAAAAAAGGTGCTTGAGTAATATACAATTAAAATTAAGCAGCTTCCTAGCATGGAAGTAGTTTCTAAATCTGCATACCAGTAAATAAGAACATCAACAGGAAAAAAAAAAACAACAACAACCTTAAAACAGTCTCTTTTTTACTCTCTTTTAAGCAAGAGCTTTGTCCAACAAAAAAATATTTTTCCTTCTCCTGTATGAACAACCAGAGATTGATATCAAATAACAAAATGAAACCACAACAGACAAACAAACAAACAAAAGCCCCTGGAACTGCGTGGTGTTCTTGACTTTTCCTTCCTTCCTTCAATACTGCTGTCAAAAGATCCAGTGCTCATTTCAGGAATTACTTAGGCCTCAGTCATTTGCTAACTCTGCCAAAGTCTGGCTAATCTAGCCAATCAGCTTTGAAGAAAACAAAAATAAAACAAAAAACAAAAAGCAGCACAAGGTGTAATTTTGTACATCCTTAATAAACCCACCCTTTATTTTCTGCTATAACCTTTTCCTTGCTATTTCATTAACTACTGCAGCTTCTCAACATATAGAAAAATATTTGCAGCTACACCACATCTGTGATGTGACAAATTCTGTTCTATGAGTATATTATTGTAGCAACAGCTGGAAAGAAAACGTCAGACCTTTTTATTTTTTTTTTTTTCACTTGGGGTTAGGATTTGCTGCAACAGATGCAATTTCAGAACAACAAGAAAAGCCACTGTCCTGCTGCTTGGTGGTATCTATTCATTTTCTTCTCCAGCCAAGCATGACCAGCTTTTCTCCTCTGAAACTTCCTTTAACCTCATTGCCTACCCCTAGCCCCTGATTCCCCCTCCCAAAAAACCTCTATAGCTATGTTACAAGCAAATACACCTTAACAAGTTTTAAAACTTTGGTTCTAAGAAAACACTTGGTCAGTTATCTCAAGGAAAAGTGGGAATGCTTTTTCTGGCACATTGCAGGAGTCAGAGCTCATCCCAGTAAGGTCTTAGAGCTGTACATGTAGTCACAAATCCAATACAATCCACTAAGCAAGTGCACGATTCTAGCTTTATTTTAATAGCAGACTTAGTCTCTTTCTCTCTCTCTCTCATTTTTAAATCCTTGGTAAGGGTGCAATTCTTCAAACTGTTTGATAGAAATTATCTGCCTGTAGGTTGTTCTGTTTCTGCATGCTGTAAAATCCGCTGTATCTTGAATCCGGGTCTGCAATTCTTAGCATCCTCTGAGAACTGTCCACCTGGACCATGGTACCTTTCTTGCAGTCCACATATACCAGTTGATTGTTTAGGCAAGATGGCTGTTAAGACAGAAAGAACACCGAATCAGTTAATTTTTTTCTGTATTCAACCCACTGCTAGCAGGTGTTTGTGGTACAAATCCATAAACACAAAAGGAAATCAAATTGGCAATGAAACAGTTTGGACTCTTGCTAAGCTTGGTAAAGGTTTTTGCCAAGCACAATGACAAACCAACAGCCTCTTGCAATCACTATTTTTCATCTTCTCAGTGAAGTTCGGGTATTCTTTTTTCCCAGTTAAACTGTTACCTACTAGTCTTCCACTGTGCAAGGGCTTTGACTTGTTGCCTCAGTGGTGCAGGAGGTTGTTTAATAGCCTCTTTATAGCTGATAATTTTTGAGAACATTTTGTTCTTGGTGACAGTATCACTAGGATAATGGGAGAGATTTCTTTTATTTTTATGTTTATTCAAGCAATTGAAGTTGATTGTCTCCTCCGTTAAATGTGAGATTCTGTTACCTTAAGGAGCAATTCTATGGAAACCAGTTGACTCACAGGTAAGAAAAGAGTTTACAACAAAACAAAGAACAAAAACACAAAAATAAGGCCACATTTTACAACATTAAAGTGTTATTTTATGTGAAAAGAAGCGGGAACCAGCAGTAGTCAAGATCTCCCATTTATTTCCTAGACTAAATTTGAGAATGTATGGCAGAAGTGCAAAATCTAGAGAATTGTGGAAAAACCTGTAACTTCTGACAGAGAAACAAGCAGTATATGTTTTCTTCAACAATGTACCCATCTTCTACTGGATCTGATGTATCATTGTCCTTTAAGTACCCCTTCCTTTAAAGCTCTTCAATAAAATGATCTTGTCCTGTATACTATTATAGCTTAGTACCAATGTATCGATTTTTAGATTAACATCAAATGTATATATTTTTTTCTGCTTTCTCAGCATATTTAAATAACTACAAGCTGCAAAACCTTTCTCCTGCAGCCATCATAGAGAAAGCAGAAAGAAAATCTGATGACATGCAGCTTAAAGGGTATTATAGAAAAGTAGTTCTATTTACTCCTTGGAAAAGTAGTTCCAATCCCCAAACTCCTAAAAACAACTAGAATTGTGGGCATATTTTTGCTCAAAACACTGCATTATTTTATTTCATTAGCATCAGGAAGATAAAAGAGATGAAAAGCTATATAGTAATGGTTTATAATATCAGCAACAACTCTGGAAAAAATGAAAGATATCCTCTAAAATAGTACACTCGAGTATTGAAAGTGCCATTTCATGCGACTGTGTTATCACTGGATAGGCTGAACAACAGTGTTGATATTTCTAGTGTAAATAAAATCTGTAATAAAAGTCTTTATTGGCTTCAAATTCATTAAACTTTTTGAAACCAATCAGTGATTTTATGTTAAAATTGTCCAATATAATGCAGTTATTAGAAAATGTGATGAACATTACTAGTACGTACAGTATCTGATCTTGGACAATACTTTGAAAGTGGATGGAAGTTTAGAAAACAAAACCTTTCTCCCAAGTGATGACTGCAGATGAGAACTGCATACAATTATGTGCACACATATGAAATTGGGAACATTTTTGGATTTTTTTTTGCTGAACTTGATTTCTATCCAGTCCCCACTCATCACTGCATCAAGCAGGACATTGCTGGCATTCATTCAATAATGAAAATAATTATTCAGGAGATTAAATAAACACCACCAGCCTCAAAGGTATAAAAAGGATTCAGGCTTAAATGAAAAAAAAAAAAACGGAGTTCATATGACGAAAATTCAATTGCATCTCACAGAATATTCTAGTCAATTTCAGTTTTCAGAAAGGTGAGAAGCTGGAAATAGGCATGAATATGGCACCTTTGTTGGAGCTTTGTAGCAGGACACTGGAATCCACTGCTTTTTCTGGTTGATGAGCAGAAAGACGATGATTACTAACAGCGCTATCGTGATTGGAATTGTCACCAAGGCAACAGAGCTAACTGATGCATCTTCACTGGGGTGCGGCCCACTTCCACTTCTGTATTCTCCCTGGAGATGATTCATGTCTGCAAGACAAATGTGGGCATTTGACATTAGTAATGATAAATGGGCCCCTATCCATAAGTAACATAAAAGCCTCAGTCACAAACTTTGTCATTTTCATGAATTTGGACTTCTTCTCCTGAAATGTCCCTTTTTTAATATAAATTAGAATAACTGAAAGCTAGCAGTTTGTATAGTGACTATATTAGTCAGAAAAAGGCCATAAAAAAGAGGAAATTGGATGGAATCTAAAGGAGCAATAAGCAACTGTGACAGCTCAGTTGTATTCACTTCGTCTTATATGATTACAACCAAATTACCACTCAGAAAAATAATGCTGCATTTCTGTGCAGCAGAAAACCTGGTAGTCTTACAATAAAAAGGTTTTTTGTTGTTGTTGTTGTTGTTTTTTTATAATAATTTTTAATTTTTTTAAGCTGATAGAGCAGTTCAGTCCTGTCTGTTCTTGCCTGTTGAGAAATTATTACAATACTTGCATCACTCAGCCTGTGAAAACAGCTCACTGGCAGTCTAACAGACTCAGTTTTTCACGTAATTTCAAAGCACGATCATTTTCAATGGCAGTATTCCTACACAGTTTTCAGTGCACATTTAGAGTTTCTCAGCCAGGATAGACACAAGCCAACTCCCAACACCTCTGAAACGTAAAAATGTTGAAATTATAAACAGTGTAACTCTATAGTTTTGTAAAATAGTTATATTTCGGATATCCTTTCTCCTAGCCACCAAGTAGTAGCATGCAATATGCATGCATGATATGATACTTGGATACAGAAAAAAAAAATATACAAATTTTAATAGTCCTTCAATTAGAAGAAGTTAGCAAAGAGTGTGACATACAGTGTTTTCCACTACCCTGCTGGGCAGTGTAGTTTTAAAACTAAAGATGGATTTACACCATTAGGCAATTTTAACGGTCTTGTGTCATTACACCTGAAGTGTTCTGTTCCACAGCCATTTCTCTATGATATATTCAGTGTGGGACTCAAGAATATAGGGTGAGATTCTTTTAAGTGGCGCGCAGAATAGAATAAGGGGCAATGGACAAAGACTATAACAGGAAATTCCATTCAAACATGAGGAAGAACTTCACTGTTAGGGTGATGGAGTGCTGGAACAGGCTGCCCGGAGAGGTTGTGGAGTCTTCTTTTCTGGAGATAGTTAAGACTCATCTGGATACTTTCCTGTGCAACCTACTGTAGGGGACCTGCTTTAGTAGGGGGGTGGACCTGACAATCTCCCTTCCAACCTCTGCAATTCTATGAAGGCATCGTACGTTCTTCTGTTTTTATCTGTACAAGAATGTCAAATGGACCAAATCAAAGTTCATTGATGCCTGTGGCATAATAGCATCCTGCTTTCTAGCTTGTGTATGAAAAAGACACTGCAGAAGCACTCCTCATTGACCAGTTTATCATATTTATAACTGTACAGAACTCTGTCATACCAACAAAGATGTGTCTTCCAAGCTGAAGATGTAATGATAATGAGATCAAATTGCTCAAGTATACTTTAACAGACTGAGTCCCCTTTGCTCAAAACAGTATAATAACAGAATAATATTCTCAGATAACTACCTTTTTCAAAGCATCACACACATGCTACCAGAATTGAAAAAAAACAAGGACATTAAAACATGGGGAACAGTCACAGATCTAACTAGCCCCATTTATATCAGATTTTACCTCTGTGAATGTGGATGATGTCATTTTCACTTGGTGTTGACCAGTTTGGCACTTCTAGTTCAACATCTCCTCGATGATTTGTCTTCTCAATAGGGATGTTAGTAGGTTCAGGTACATACATCTCTGAAAAATGAGATGAATGTCTTTCAAAATTACAAGCGTCTTAATTTTCTGGTGCTGCTCTTAATTCAGCAGATACATCTGGCTATCTGCAATGCTTTCTACTACAAATTTTTATTATTTATTTTGGAATTTTCTCTATTACAGCTATGGGATATGGTTTTAATTTGACATAAAATCTTCAATTTGTGTTAAAAAATTTCCACTGTGTACAAGATTCATGCATGTTGTCATAATCATTATACTAATGTAAAAGGAATGATGTAGTCCTATAAACAACTTTTTGCTTTTTAAAAAACCATTTCAGAATAGATGGCTAAGGCTTGGTTTGTGATGCTAAATATGAAAAATGCCAAGACAGGGCTACATCCTTCTGGCTGGTACATAGCTGACAATTTTTTTTTCCTCTCCTGTAGTTCCCAAAGTAGGAGAATTGAAAGAGATGCTACTGCTGAATTGTCCTGTCAGAAGTAGTTATTAGCTGACTCAGTAAGAAGGAAAAGACCTGCAAAAATATGTCAGGAGTAGCATTAAAAAGCAGTTGCAGTTCTTATGTCCCTTGTGTCCACAGCTAAGACAATTTCATATTACATACATATCAAATTAAAATACATTAGTAATGAAGTATTTGAAAAGTATTGACCTAGAAGGGACAGAAATATTAATTACTGGGCAAATACGCAGAAGTGCAGAACTATTCATTTTCCTACTTCATTAGTTTATTTTCATAACTTTGTATACCAACAGACAGAAGAAGCAAAAAAAAAAAACAAACAAAAAAACCCAGAACAACAATTTTTGAATCTGCAGTTCTTAGAGTAAGTAAAATTCAAACTATATGTTTGCACAGTGTGCCTATCTGGTATTCATTTTCCTGAAGCCTAAATGTCTCCATGACATCATTCAGTATGGACTGACATTCAAAAAACAATTAAAAAAACCTGACTGTCAGTCCTGGAAAAGAGCATTGCAATAACCTAAGTTGTTAAATCACATTACCTGGGCACATGGGACAGCAGCTTCCCTCCACGTTGATGGGTTCAGCACAAGGCAGGGGTGGGCAGCTAACAGTGGAGCAGAGAGTCTGACCCTGCAGGCAGTAACAGTGCGTGCAGCTGTCGATGTCCCAGCGCTCCTCATCTGCGTATGTTTTTCCACTGAAGTGGCAGACCACTTTCTTTGGTACTGTATCTTCTGTTGAACAAAAACAGAGCAGTGTTGGGATGGCCAGTTGCACACAGATCTGATCTTTTCCCAAAATATAACAGTGAAAGAATAACTAAGAAAAAATCCCAGCTATAATTAAAAGACCCTCTCCACATCTGTCAAAGATATTTCAGAAATATAATTTCTGCTTCCTTATGAAGTACGTCACCAACCCAAACTAATGCTTCTCATGCAAGAGGCTAGAAGATGAATGATTGGGTCATGAAGCAGTGATATCAAAAGTACTGTGAAAATGATAAAACAAGAGAAACTTTTTTTTTTTTTTTTGACTGTTTGAGACTCCTAACTCATCCTCCTCCTCTTCTCCTAGTAAATCCTATTTAAATCCTATTTAAGAAGAAAGCCAATCTACAGTTCTAATTACCAAGATTCAAGACAGACAAACTCAGTCTGGAATACTTCAAGACAAGACTAGGAAGGATGCCAAGAAGAAGGAAGCAACTCTTGAGCGACGTAACTGGAACAGTTTTGACTATTTATTATGGCAAAACAGATAATAAGGGGATATGCTTATTCTTTGTAACCACATCAGTGGGATCTCCCATGAAAAGGGTAGCAAGTATGTTTTTTCATGGTCAGTATTATATAAGTTGGAAATTGGCACAATTGTAACCCTCAAAAAAGTGAGGTTAGGTTCCACAACACTTTTTCCAAAGATTGAAAGCTAGAAAACCAACATTTTTTTCACACAGATTTTGACACATTATGCAATAGAGACCTAAATGTGATAAATAAAGTAGGTCTTGGGAAAATACTCAAAACCAGCATTCATTCTCTTTTTAAGCATTTAATACATCTTTATTTTAATGCTGATTCCTACGCAAGTCTTTCAGACTGCCTGTATTATACCTTCGATTTCACTGAGATGAGGATCATGAATTGCTTAACTTAAAATGTTTATTTGCTGCTATAGCATTTTACAGATTATCAAACAAACAAAAAACAGTACACAGCAGAACCTCCAAAAGCCACACACAACCTCATTTTCATCATAGCTTCTCAGTACTCTTTTCTTCTAGAGGCAGAAGTTATTATGAAGAAACATGGTGATGCTGGATTTGCAGATTAAGCAGATGCATGAGACAGCAGAACCAAATTGCAAAGAAACCCACTAAGCTGTTAGAGAAATACTGGTTTAATATCCATACAGATTACATATATAAATATGTCAGCTAGAATTACCTCCCATATATAAATACAAATCCTTAAGTATTTTGGCCATCATTATAGATTTTATTTAGAGACAACATAAATAGATCAATATTATCTACAATAAAAAGGTTTGCAGTCAGCAGACCAGTGTCATGTATCTGGACACAGTAAATTCAAATGCAAAAGAAGACTACTGAGTACTACTGAGAAAATACTAATGAAAGCATCTGAAAAGCTTAAAAGTTCCAGAGGTCCTTGAATTGGGCATCCATGTGTCCATGGATGCAATTTCAAATAGAAGATTTCTATATGAATATGGGATATAGGAAAGTAAGAGTGGGAGGAAAAAGTGGTCAAAAGCTGCAAAAAACATACAATTTCCATTTAAAAATGATTATTTTTGCGTTAAAAGTGTTGAAAAGAGGCAATGAAGACCTGTTTAGGTTAGGATGGCAAGGGACAGAGCAAGAAGCACAGCTGGAGTAGTTCTCTATTTCTTATTCTTAATCCAGAACTAAAGCTGAGCACTCCCTGTTCACCCTGGGCTGACCTACTCCCATAAATGTTACCTTGCCCCACTCAGGACAGCTTCTTCAAGTCTGCAGCCCTGTTGGCTGGATGGCTGGAGAAGTCCTTTAACTTGCTTAGGTTTCATGAGTTTATGTAGAACACAACAAAATTTAATACATATAGTGTTTTTTTTTTTAAGAAAAGTGAACAAAGACAAACTCAGAGTAGCAGTCTTGCACCTTTGAATCTTTAAAGGAAGATCCTGTGCATATCTCCTGCTTGATGTCCATATCTATAAGACTATAAACCCAGCATAAAGATGAAGGCTACCACACCAACAAGCACTCAAGAGTGGAAACAAAGGAGAAGGACAGTGAGAAACCCACATGGAAAAACGCAGTTCAAAAGACAGTGTGCAGCTCTACTTGTCTTTTCTCATATTTCCTCTAACTTCACCAGGAAATCAAACACATCTGGTAAACATATAAAGTCAATGCTGTTTTGTGCATAAGAGTAATCTTCTCACTCATCAAATGGACATCTCTTTATCCTCTCTAATGTAGATGGTTATTTTTCCTAATTAATATCTCTTTGCACAAGAAAGAAAAATATTGAACACAAGGTGAATTTGAGAATTCAGAAAACAAAAAAGCATCCAAGGCCTGCAAGATTTTGAATTTAAATCTGTGCTGACTTGTTAGACATGAACAAGATCTGGATCCAGAAAGAAGTAGAATAAAAGACAGTGCTAAAATCCAGCATCATTTTTGAAATTTCAAACAATGAAGAAGTCTTGTTATAACTACTTGTTACTACTAAACACTTCATCAGCTATTACATAAAAATAGGAAGGAAGAACCTCTACCAAGATGTTCTTCACAGTTCTCAAGAAATAAGCAGAAAATTGAAAAACACAAAGGTTTTATTCTCCATTCTTTGAAATTTCACATGGTTCTCTTTATCATCTGCAGTTGTAATCATTTATCTGCGGTACTGCATATCTTGATACAACATATATGTTATCAGTCAGATCTTCCACTAAATCCTCAAGTCTGTATGAAAATTATATCGTCATATTCCTGCACTTGTACCTTGAAACTAGAGATAATGATCCTCAAAGCTCCCTGAACTGTGTGACTTCAGTTCAACAGAAGGCACAAATGGCTTTTCCCCAAAACAGGAAAACATATTTCAATTTGGAAATAAAACTTTCTCATTCCCAAGGAAGAGGTAGCAAGTATGGACTATTTTTATTTGCTCACCAATGCAGTAAGGACAACACTGTCCCTTTCTCAAAACAGGTCTCTCACAGGATACTGGTGGGCAAGACTCAGAATAACATCTAATTACACCATCCATGCAGATGCAGCTGGTGCAGACGTTAGGCTTCCAGGATTCAGCTGTCAGAAAAATATCTCCTTCATCATTTTTGCAGTAACTAGGCATGCTCACATTGCTTGACAAAGAAGGCTGAAGAGGCTCGTCTGTAAATATAAAAAATTAAGTTAGTTAACTTACAGTAGCTAACTTCTTTGATATTTCTTCTACATAGGGCTCATTCTTGTCATGCTTGCCAGTTCAGTACCTGCAGTTCATAAATCTCATTATATGCTCTAGAATAAAGTTGATGTAAACCTTTACTGAGTTTACTCAAGAAAAACCAACCAACCAACAAACAAAAAGATAGTGAAATCGTGAAATGATCATTGTTAGAAGCAGCCTCTCAGAAAGGGACTCTGAATGTTCTAAATGGAGTGGCATACAGGAATTCATCTTAAATCAGATATATTGAATTTTAAGCCTAAAAGCTGAATCCTAGAATCAGTTCCAGGCCTTCTGTGATGAAAAGTCAAAAGCTATTATGCTGCTATCATCTTCGCCAGTCTTATAGGAGATAATTATAAGCTGTGGAGAAGCAGATGGAGCTTGATCAGGCTTCATCTTGATGCTGATGTGTCAGCTTTGATTCTCAGGCACTCACACAGGGGAGATATTTCTGCAATGAAGCTGTATCTTAACAGACATAGATCCCGAAGTATGAGTGCAGGTACAGAGAACACATAAAAAAGAAAATAAAAAGATTCATAAGGGGACTCAGATCAGGTTCTCAATCTAACTATGCAAAATAGGAGACTAAGCTTCTCACATAGCCAGTGAAGAAGGATGAATTTCTCCAAACATTTATTTATGTGTATTTTGAAGATAAACAAAAAAAATGTTCATGGTTAATAATTGGAAAAATGGTTGTTGGGAGAACAGGCTAACATTTTAGCTTAAAAAAACCTTGCCAGGAAAAATAACAACTCCCAAACCAACAAACACTGCGTAACAAATGGCAAAACCTAGTTTGTTTAAGTAAAGCAAATCCTGTTTCCTTCTTGACACTGTGAGGCAGTCTACTGCTGGGCTGTAACGGCCTGATATTAGCAAGCTGCCTTCAAGTCACTCTCAAATCATATCAAGTGAGGATAAAAACAGCAAATTTTCTTTTGTGACCAAGTCCCAAATATCCAACCCTTACAGTATTAACTTTCCCTCAGAGAAGGTGTCCAAACTTCCACCAGCAGATGAAATAACTATTGCACACAGTCAAATTTTGCAATTGAAATGGGAGGACTGCAGGCTTAAACTCCAAAATGCTAAAGGAAAAAGAGAAAGCAACAACCAATTGTGCACACACTGAAACAACTAGTATTCATAACATAAATTCTAAAATCAAGAAAAGACTGATAAAAACTAGCTGTCAATATATACCTGGGCACTGAGGACAGCAGGAGTCCTGTGTGCGAGTGGGGTTTTGACAAAGAAGAGGAGGACAGACTTCAGTCTCACACAGGACTCGTCCACTGTGGCATGTACACTGTGTGCAAGAATCAATGTTCCATGTTTCTCCTTCTACAAAGTATTCCCCACCAGGAGCATGACAGATTGATGGACTAGTGAGCTCTGGCTTCTGCACAATTATTTCATCTGGAAAAAACAGAATTAGAAGATAAGAAAAATCAACTGTGATTCCAATGATTAAAACATATACTCAACCTTTTATTTCTTGCTGCTATTATAAAAAATATTAGGATTAACAAAACCAGCTATAAATCCACTCTTAAAGAAACTCTTTTTAAACTTTGTGTCACTCTCTTGTATCTCACGGAAAATGTAAAAAAGGTGAAAATGGAACACTTTGGGAACCAATTTGAATAAATGCTGGTGTGAGAATCTTTCTTGTTTTTTGGCTCAAAGCTTGCTTCCTGAGGTTTTTCTTGTGATAGGACTGAATGATTTGTTGAGGAGGCAAGTGATGGATGCTAACCGTGTGACAATCGATATCGCTTTGGGAACATTTGAAAGCCCCTTCTTCCAGAGCTGTTTGCTCTGTAGAAGAGTGGAAGAGAGTGCTCAGGAGTGTTCACTGGTGGAAGATCTGGCCTGTGACTAAAGTGCTCCAGCTTGGTATGGGAGGCTGGGGAATGATGCCATTGTATCCTGTGAAGGCAAGATACAAGTTGGTGCCTCCCTGCTTCCTCTTATCTGCTGGCAAGGCCAGGAAGATAAGAACAAAGGAATTTCCTGCTGAGGTCCCAGAGCCAGAAGCTGCCACTCCAAGGAGAGCTGACTCAACCACCTTGGGTTTGAGCTGTCACTCAAAGGAGAGCTGGCTCGACCACTTTGAAAGCATTGAAAAGGGGCCATCATCGCCATGGTCGTCGTTGTCGTCGTCAATAGAACAACTCTGCCCGATGACCCACAACTACTGAAGATCAAAGACGGAACTATGAACTTCGCTGGATCCATGGTGGTGACTATCTCCCTCTTGCTTCCTATAAAGACTTCTTGCTTCTTCTTTTCTATCTTTTCTTTACCCTCCTTCCTTTCCCCATTACCCTAATTCATGATAGTGTCCGTCCTCCCCTTCCCCATTTCCCTGACTAAGATTTGTAATAAACTGGTCAGACTAACATTTGAACCGTTGCTTCTTAATCTCACGCCAGGTATATAGATAATAAAAGAACCTCCTCTCCCTCCTATAAATTGGAGCGAGACAGCTGGTTAATATACATCAGAGATAACCAAGTATTCTTGGAATTTTGGAAAGAAAGCAAACCAATCTACAACATAGAAATTCCAAGAGACAACTGTCATTTTCTGAAAATATTAAAATAAATGCAATTCCTGAAAGGATGGATAAGCATGTTCACAGTCTGGGATTTGAGAAGATTCAACTGCCTATGATAAAATTCTGATGTGACTTGTGCCTCTAACATTCAATGCCAAACTAAAATCAAAATCTGATAATCTCCATCTGTAGCTCCTAAAAACTTAAAAGCACTTAGCAATGGAAATATGTCACTGAAAGATTGTTTCATAAAGAAAATTTAGAAGTTAAAAAAATAATCTGCATTAATGACTGAAGTAAGAACAGTACCCAAGATGATTCCAGTGAGTACACTTTAATTTTCAGTGACTATCTCACCAAATTAATCTTAGCCCTTTTTCACACAATTAGTTACATTAATCCTACAGCCCTAGCCAAAGACTCAACCAGCCTGGATTAGAAATCCAGGCAGTTAGAGAATGGATCTGAACTCCTACAAGTCTTCCAATCACGAGGACATTCAAATAATGGGGGAGTACCCTTCACCAATGGGTGTTTTAAAAATACAAAAGAGACCTGCCTTGCATTTAGACAGTGTTTAAGCAATTACTATCAGTGAAATTGTGCCATGGACTACACTTGCACAGCCTGGTTAAAAAAGTGCCCACTGCACATAATGGATGAATTTCAAAACAACAACTTTGTGATATTTTCTAATAAATTTACATAGATGACAGGTTGGCATGCTGGTTGCTGTGGACCTGGCATGAGCCAGCAAGCTTGCTCCATGCACTGCATATAGGAATCAAGCTGCCCCACGTAGCATGCTTTATTCAGTTCCACGAGCCATGAGTTTAACCTGTTGCAATGTGAAGCTGCAGGGTTGTCAGTGCATATTGCTCTTTGGCCTCAATTCAACCCAACTGATGTTGGATATTAAGAACGAGCTCCCTCAGAATTCCTGTGCTGTGAAGAGAAGGGATTAAAAAGTGACCCAGGTAATGATTCAGTATCCCTAAACCATTTTCTGTAGGTCCCTCTCTCTTACTTTTGTCATCTGGATAGCCCAAGGCTAACACAGTGCATCTGCTTCTCACCACATTCTTAATAATGCTGATTTGTCTGATGAATTAAGTCTGTGCCCTTTGCTCTGTGGCATCCTCATAGAAGATGCCCAGTTCCATCACTTGCTTTCTCTTCTGCAGAATGACAGGTAGAGCTCAAGAAAGTAGACTCAGGCTGATCTTTTCCTGTTCAGAAAGTACTTTAATATTTTTTCCTTAAGGGAATTAACTAATCTATCAGTGATTAGCTTATGTTACCTTTTTCCCATTGCATACATTTCTAAACAGCAAATAGGATTCAGTAGCATTTTACCACACTTGAAGTGACAGCTAGTCTGCTGCCCTGTCACTGTCTGATTTATTTCAGCTGGAACAATCTATTGCATTTTATGCAAAAAACATCCACAGTCAGGCAAGCTTTGCATTAAGTTCTTTGCAAAGTCACAGCTTATATACTGCTCATAATCATAAATGCCTAACCAGAGAATACTGCTGTATGTACGGCACTGCTTACAGCTCCCTTACCAGTATTGGTATTGATATATTATTGCAATTGAGTTGCTGCAAATGTGCAATTACTAGATTCCTGATGGAGTAACTAGCAAGGCAAGCACGTAATCTTTCTGAGAAGCATGGTTCTGCAAAACACTAGAAGTTAATGGCTTTCTAAATCTTGCAGGAAACCTGGAGCTTTCCTTAAGAACTGGTACAATCCACTTGAATCTCATAATATATAGAAACATGGTTTTGATGAGTGTTTTAGCAAAGTATTTCTTGTTCTGTTGAAAACCAAATGTGAAATTGAGCATAAACAACTTTTTCAGTCTGAAAAGAGATTTCTAAGAGCTGCCACTTCCCTAAAGGAAGTAGGCTAAAAGTGTGATTTAAAACCACATCAGGACTGCTAATTATTTATGTTAGATACGTTTGACTGTCATGCTCATAACCTCACAAACGCAACTGCATTCCTATCTGTAGAAAGCCATGATATTCATTTAACAGCATCAGTGTGGAATCAACACACTGCAAACTAAAATCAGAAGTGCATAGCAAACAAACAGAAAACCCTGGAGAAAGAGAACCCCTCAGAAGGAAATTTGGCTATATTACTCACAGGTAACAAACTGAAAGAAACTAATCTCTGGTTGCCCTAGCACTGTATGCATTTGCACCAAGTATGGCTTTGCTTGCACAGAAGCTAGATGACAAGTACCCTGTAAAGACCAAAGAATGTTAGGCAGAGAAATCTAGGTAGATATCGTATCTCTAGGACCATATCTGGACTCTACCGGGATAACACTGCAATCTGGTGTGGCAAAAATCTTACATACAAACTGATAAAACCAGCCAGATGCTTAATAAAGGGAGAGAAGGAAGCAAGTAAAGGATGGATTCTCAAGTGTGCATAAATAGTGGGAGTAACTTTCTTCATGTTTCCAAGTCAGCTAACAATTTCATTAATGGTTATCATTAATAAGATGCTAAAGGGAAATTGCTCAGCCTCAGTAAGCACTGCTAAATTAGTATTAGGAATAGCTCTGGCTCTGCAAAAAAAAACCTGTGCCAAAAGCAGCACCATGGCACAGGAACCACAGACACTGTGTCCAGTCTCAATAGTGGGAGCAAGTGATATATGCTGAGAGAGGGTGAAAGGCAGATCAACATTTTGCAATCCCATATCCTCTTGAGGACTATGTTTTTCTAATTACAACTGGGTGCAAAATGGATTGGAGATATTCGCTGAAGCAGTCTGAAGAGATCTACTGTCTAGGGCTGCTCAGCCTGGAGGAGAAGGCTCCAGGAGAGACCTGAGAGATGCCTTTCAGTATCTGAAGGGGGGTACAAGAGAGAAAGAGACAGACTGTTTATAGCAGGACAAGGGGAAATGGTTTCAAACTAAAAAAGTGGTGATTTAGATTGCATATGAGGAAGACATTTTTTTACAGTAGGGGTGGTGAGGCACTGACACAGGTTGTCCAGAGAGGTGGTGGATGCCCCACACATGCAGACTTTCAAGGTCAGGCTGGACAGGGCTCTAAACACCTAATTTAGCTGTAGGTGTCCCTGTTCATTGCAGGGGAGTTGAGTTAGATGGCCTATAAGGGTCCCTTCCAATTAAAAAGATAATATGATTCTATGATCTTATGACGTCCTAGAAAGGATACACTCTTTTCAGTCGCTTTTAGAAAGAGGATTTGGCTACATATTTTGTTCCTAAGATCTTCTGTTCTTTTCAAGGGATTTGAAAACATTCATAATTGCTTGAATCATGCAAGTGCTTTCTTACTATTTCATTATTCTTATTATCACCATGCACCTTGTTCCTACTTGTAACATGACTTATGATCAAGTCATAGACAATATAATGCTATTACAAATTAAACTATTCAGCATATAAAATACTGCAGGAATCTATCTGAAGGTGGAGGGAATTACTCATCATCTGTCCATATTCTAAAGTTGTAAAGTTCTTTCATAAATGTTTTCCATTTTATCACTTCTTATTACAATTATATTGGAATGCAGCATTTATTGTACTGGTCTTCTCCCTTAGAGAATTAGAATTATTTTCTACCACTGGTGGTAGTGGAACATTCCTTCGGAACAGAATCATGATGTTCAACTGCCAAAGACATCTCTTTAAAAGCCTACTCCTCTGAGGAGCTGACAGAGAGGTGAATTTTAATAAAATTACACTTTAAAATAAAAAAGATAATGCTTATAACAGCTTATTATATTTGCGATTATTGCTAATATAAACTGGAAACTAAACTGTTTAAGGATTTCAGTCTATCAAAAATTAACGTATTAGGACCTACAACATGCACGTTTCATATACTCAAGTAACCACTTTTCAGATGTTAGATCTCAATGAAAACCAGTCATGATGTTCTATTTGGACATAGAAAGCTTCATTTATATTTATTACAGAATGAGTTTTCATGCATTAGGAAAGACCACACATATGTGAAAACAAGCTCAACTACAAAGAACATACAAAACAGCATGTTACCTGGACATGATGGGCAACACTGCCCTGGATGTATGGTGGGGTTGCCACAATTAGGAACAGGACAGGTGATCAAGGCACACATTTCCCGTCCGTTGTGACAGTAACACTCCCTGCATCCATCGTGCCAACTCTCTTCGTTTTCATGTCGGCGCCCATCCACTGACAGGCAAGAGCCTGTTTTAACTGGAGGCATAAGAGAAGCAGTTGCCTCTGCAAGAAGTCAAAAGAAAATGCAATTTGCTAATAAGCATGTGTTGCTTAGAAAAACATAAATACTGTATGCCTGGCTTGCATTTATTTTTAAAGTATGTAAGAGATCAAGTTATTAATAAATGTATCATTTATATTTAGAAATAAACTTGAGACATATGAAGTAATTATTGGTATACTGGAGGCCATAGTAAGACATAGTAGAATTTATTTCCTTGAAAAATACAATCATTTCTGTTGTGCTTACACTGTCTTTAATCATGCAGTAATGCAGTACTGGCTAAACAATGTAAGGAAATGGTAGAAAACATGAGGCATATTTAAAATTAAACAGAACAGTTTTAGATATTATCTGTAACATGAGTACCAAATATCTGGTAGAATATAAAGGCATTTACAAGAGCTAAGGATGGCTCCATATATACCATTAATTAAAAAAATTCCAAGCACGTTCTAATAGGGCCATACCAGATACTGGAAATATTTCATAAACCACTACCTACAATAAATTACTTGTGTTAGTTATTATAAATGATGCTTGGAAGATGGCTGCTCTGACATTTTTATCCCTCATTCCTGGGTTTTATTGAGATGAAAATACAATTGTTTGGACTGCTGTGTTACTTGCTCTCAGCCAGAACAGGGAGGCTTTTGGCCTAGGGAGGATAAAGACTCATTTGGATCTTAAGGGGTATTTAAGTGCAGAAGGACTCAGCCTCAATAAATTCTCTGTTAATCAGTAGTGAATTTAGATCCTAACAATCCCTCACCAACATCATCATGATGGAGGATTTTGGGTCAGTTTGCCAGTGAACTGACTTGCTTTCAGTGATACATCAACACTTACATATGTAAAGCTGCTGTATTAATATGCTTGTCAATTATTCATTTAAAAAAATAGTGCAGAATGAGAAGAATTGTTAAAATGTGTTTCTAGTTAATTAAAAAAAAATATCACAAACCCATCACAAAACTAACAGCACTCCAGCTGTGGTGGATCTACCAGTGGTGGCCTAGGAATGACAAGCAGATGCTATGAAGTGGGTTTGCTGCACATCATTTGAATAAGAACTCAGTACACAGATATTGCACTACCGTGCTGTTTTGTGACACATAGAAAAAAAAAAGGGAAATGGGTACAATACTTCTAAAAGCAATGCACTGAAGAGAAACAATATGGAAAGGTTGCACACAGTTATTACACATTGAAATCGTAATACCAGATGATATATAGATTCCTTTTTAAATTCTGTCCTACATTAAAATCATTACTGATAAATCGTTATTGATAAATGTTTTAAAATATCTGATGTATTCAGGCATTTTTTTTTTACTAAGACATTCTTATGTCTACTCCTAAATTTGGAAAAGCAAAGCAAGCATGTAAGCAGATATTCAAGATTAACACAAGAGTTTGAAATTGTTTTCATTTTTCAGTTTTTAGACAAATGTTGCACAAAAGGAAGTACTTAGAGCAGAAATCAGGTTCCCAAATACAAAATGAGAATAACTCAATATCCAGAGGTATGGCTGAAAATAAACTGAGAATTACATAGCTTACAAGGAAAATACAAGTCAGGAATGTTACACCACTGCAGAAAAGGCAAGTTCAGCCTAAGGTACGGTATGGAAGCACTGGACATTCAAATGCAGCTCTACAATCTGTACCAGTGGGCATTTTTTTTGCTGCTGCAGAAGTGCAGTATCCAGTTCCAGAACTGTGAATAGGGATCACAAGACCTGGGTTTTGTTCACTTTGAAAATAATACATTTAGGAGTCTCTAATTGCAAACCCTTAAATATTGCCAGAGTTCTAAAGGGAAAGGTGAGAAATTGTTCCCTGAGTCTGCTGAGCTTAAGAAAATAAGTAGATGGTTAAATTCCTAGAAAGGATGATGAAAATACAAGAAAACTCTTAAAGTGTCTCATATTGGTAACCACATGAAAACATAAGTTAGAGAGTAGAATTTTTTTGTCTTTTTCTTTTTCTTTTTCTTTTTTTTTGAGATTGGAGGTTCTTAAGAAGTGAAATCATAGACAAAAATCTGTTGAGGATTATCCAGATACACTTGGCATTATGTGAAGGTAGAGAAATGGACTCGTCTTTTTTTGGAGGATTATCTGATCTCTGTATTTCTACGGTTCTACTTGTATTTACTCCAGCATAAGTTAATTCCAGAAGAGGCAGATTAGAAAGTAAAGCTAATTCACAAGCAAGTTACTTATCAACTCTCTCACTCTACTTAGGAATTTTGGATCAAAGTTTTAACGACTCCTGGCTTCCCTAGAACATACTGATGGTTGCCCTAGCTATTCCTGGATGAGTTGCTAATGATCACATAATTTAAGGGATAGTTCATGATGATCCAGTGTTTAATCTCACGATATTTTATTTTTACTAATAAAACAGAATACATTCTAGGGGGCAGTGTGACAACTCTTTTTTTTTTTTTAGACACTGGAGTGTGAGATCAATATTTGAAAACTCCAGCAGTGAAAAACAACCGAGGTAATAATGAATCTGAAGTATGGACAAATCTGTGAAGTATCTCAGCAAATACCCACAGGCTCTGAAATCTCATGGAAGTATGTAATATTGTGAAAATTTTATATTTAAGAATTTCTGACATTAGCCTATTAGAATTTTATATAGATTTATGGTACAGCATTTCAATTCTTACAGGTTCCATGTAACATCCCTTTGATCTGGCTTCCAAATGCTTTGAAAACATGTCGCAGTGATAAATGGCAACACCTACCTCTGCATTTGCAGATAACACAACCGTGGCTGTTCTGCTGGAAGCCCATTGGGCAGATTTTACCACAAGGCATTTCCGGGCATTTCTTACATCGACAGATTTCGCAGCCATGCTTGTTCTTCCTAGATTACCAAAATAATTTGTTAAAGGTCAGCAGGATACTTTAAATGTCTAAATGCCATGGCTGAAGCAAAAGCAACCTCTAAATTGACTGATCAAATAAAGAAAATTGTCTCTAACATTCAGTTATTTTCAGTATGCATGTTGATGTTCTCTTCTCATGTGAATGGCAACAGGTATTTGGAAGTTTCAAGCCATAGCAGATAATACAGATCTAAATGCTTTTTACTCACAAATGTACTACGTTACTAAAAGACTAAATAATTATAGTGCTGAAGTGAGATTTGCAATAAAATGATCTTAAAATTTTTCTTACTACAATTTTAATCCTTCATGCTACAAGTTGTTTCATTTATGATTATCATTAACATTATTCAATTCATTAACATCAGTGCCATTACTAATATTTTGTAGACAATGACAAGATTAAGGTGCTTATTTCCTTTTTTTAAAAAATAAAAAACATGTAACAACATCAAACATTTAAAAAAACCCAACCAAACCGTTTATATAGTTGAACTACACCCTTCATCTAAAGGTAGAATTTAAATAGATGATTTTCAAATTAGCTTTAGAATGTTTCAAATTCAGTTTATGTGTACAAAAATTCAACTGAAAGACCATTCCAAAGATAGGGCTCCTAACATGGCTTCACATCAGTTTGCTTTTAAGGTACCTTTATCTTACTCCATACTACCATACCATGCTTATTATTATTTGCTATAATTTCTAAAATCCCTTTGTTTGATGATTCACACAAATTTACTAATATAAATGTTTTATGCATACTTTAGTTAGAAAAAAGAGAAAAAGGTGTGCGTTTCAACTTACTGAAGTATAGAAAGAACACTGAAATTTTTAGTTTTCTTCTGTAGGTCAATATTCTAAGTCAGTCAGGATAAAAATGACTACTCTCAACTGCTAAAAGGTATAATTCTGTGAGAGATTTAATGTTACTGTTTTATAAGACCTTCTATTTGAAGATGAACCAGGTAGTTTGGTGCCAGAGCACAGAGCAGTTCTGAAGGGCATAATGCTTGTTCATGGTCTCAAATGAAGCCTGCAGTTGCAAATGTCTTCTCACTAGGCAAACGATCACCGAATATCCATGGCAACCACACTAACATCAGTATCTGCCTCCTTTCAACATCTTCTTTTATTTATTGTATTTTTTATGCTTTAGATTGTCAATGCTTGAACTTTTGAGTCACCCCACTAAAACATTGTTTTTCAATTTGAGCTTTTTTCTGGATTCATGCCAATGACCACTGCAGCTCACCAGATATATGTTCAGTCAAAGGAATTGAAGGAGTCAGTCATTATTAGCCCCATCACTCTTATGACCACTATTTCCTGTAATAAGGTTCTAAAACTTACAAAGGGGTAAGCCTGATTCTGTATCTCAAATAACAAAGGATATATGGGTATACATATATCCATTTACACGAGTTCAGTGCTAACATCCAAATAGATCTGAAGAATACTTTCATCTTACATTAAGTAATATTATTTCTTCTTTCTCATACTTTCCCCAATCTTCTTGAAGTGAACACATGTATATATTCCCAAATTTTGCATATTTTCAATACATATGGGCATACCAAAGAGGCATAAACATAAGTATAAAATAAGAATACTTACAAGTATCCAAAGGGACAGTACTTGTCACAAACAACAGGTTTGCATTTCTTGGGCCGTGGACGGCATTGACAGATCTCACAGTTGTGAGCATCAGTCTGGAACCCAAAGGAACAGTCCAGGGAGCAGCCTGATATGAGGCCCATACACAGCTCTTCTCCTGTGAAGAATACACGTAGATGATTGCAAAGCAAAAGTAGTTTATACTAGACAAATGGATCCAATGGGATGTCTTCAGTTCCAGTTAAGAAGTAGATACAATACCCTATACTAATTTGATTTTGTGAAGTTATGCACATCCAACCAACATCCATGACTGTCAGACTTAATAAAGCATTTAAAATACCATAAAGTTGTGACACACCATATTCATTTAATAGGTTTCTCTTCAGTATAGAGCAACTTTTATTTCTAGTCTACATATTTCAAACAGAATTGAAAGGCAGGAATGTAAAAGCCTTTATTCCTCACTTAGAGTGCTTGCTGTCACCTGGTTGCTGATTAAAATGTGCTTCTCAAAAATATAACTGTAATACTGGAAGAGGTGATTAAAACTTTGAGATGTTAGACTAAAAGACCTTCCTTCTGAAGTCTGTTATTATGTTTTATTAATCTTTTGTGGCAAGGAAGGATGATGTTGGATTGTTGGTATATAAAAGAAATTAATTAGAATTAAATTAATTAAAAGAAATTGGTGGCATTATACATGAAATTAAACTCTGTTTTGAGCTCTGATGTGGTGTAAATTATGACATTTCCTGCTGATACTCTGAACTGACCTGAGAATAATCCTGGAAACACACATGGATTGATGAGTACCATTCATTTTCTGAAGTGTACTTTGTCACTGAGATGAAGTGTTTGGGTGGCTGTGCGTAATCAGCAGGCTCAAAGAACATAGGTCAAGGAACAATAAGGTACAAATGCAAAGGTGAGGGAGAAATAGAAAAAAAAAAAATCTAAAGGCATAGAAAAAACAGGAATATTTTTTAGTTGGCATGTTTCTTTACGTCATTTGTGTCCAGATTTGTGTTTAGGACACCTTTCAAAGCGTGGCATCCTGATTTAAATATGAAGTAAAATATAGTGCAATAGTGACTTCTTCAGGATCTCATGGGTAAATGGCTTTCAATCTTCTGTTCTGCTTTGATTGTTATGATTTATTTAGTGACACTGAAGTGCAAAATACACTCTTACATGCAAAATTGATATACTTTATTTAAAGGGTCAAAGTGTCTAGGACAGTGGTATGCAAACAGGATGACAGTATCTTATCCTAAGTAGTTCACGCCATTAAATTACTTAAAATTCAAACAGTCAGTTGGCACACTAACTAGACAGTCTAGTCTGAAGGCAATCTTCTCCTTGCTTATTCATTTATGTATTGAGTTATCCTCAAAAGAATTCTGAATTTTGACTTTTTGAAGTCAAGAATGGATGACTGACTGACAAACATTGCCTCTAAAGAACAGATGCTGAAGAGTATCCTCATCTTCATCATGCCATATGTAAAATATAATCAAAATTCTGTCTGTTTCAACACAGGTAAAGTTTGCTGAATTCAACAGAGACTACTGCTCACACCTGAACTTACTAATGTAATGTCTGTGCTAGACGAGGACATCAGAATACTTTGTATAGAACTCTACAGGCAATCCTTCTAATAACATGCTAAAAATGGTGACTACCGAGAAGCTAGTTGTTACTAAAATTACTGTGCTCTCATGTTTAAATTTCTCACATTACAATATTACAAGCTGTGGACTTAGACTCTCAATAGGTTTTGAGAAATATTCTCTATAAAGAAATTCAGTGTTGTGGAAATCGTTGATTCTGGCCTGCTTTCTAACTTCACAACTAGCTATGCACATTTCTTTTTACTGAAACGTTTTAAAAGACATGGAAAATTACAGGCAGCCGCAAACTGAAGTACCATCTGGTACACATGCACAGGCCTCCTGAAAACCCTATTTCACAGTTTTAAACAGGGCATTTTTTCAGAAAAGTGAGAGCGAACTTGCCAATTTTACAGGAACAGAGTTTAGCTCTATGAAAAAAAAAAAAAGGGAAAAAAAAAAAAAAAAAAAAAGAGAAAAATTGCCAGGCCTAGAGATTCACATGAAAATAAAATTTAATGAATACAATTTTCACCCTGACACATAGCCATAACTATAACTTTAAATTCATTGTTAGTAAAATTATCACAAGTTCAATATGAAAGACAAGTAAAACCAGATTTCCTCCGAAGGCTCTGCAAATACGAGTAAAAAGTACTAAAGAGTAAAGACAACTGCGATCTACATATGAAAGTCAGCAGCTATTATCTGAGATTTATTTACTGAAAATATCAGGAGGTAATTTGTTTTGGGGGGCTTTATCCACTTTTGCATAAATAAACTTCACCTAGAACCTGAATCCCAAATCATGCAACATATTCACAGGAAGAGATTCAGCCTTCAGTGAAGCTAAGAGCTTAAAGGGTATATTCCAAAGAAGCACTCTGAGGATACTTTAAAAAGCTAACACTGAAGGAAAACTACCTTTCAGAAGTCTGGAAATCTGCATTACGTGCTTACATGTCACTGCAACTCTAATAGAATAGGCAAGCTTCATGATTACAGAGTATTTGTTTTTTCCTTGACAGTGTTATAACTAATCGTTCAGAACTCAATTAAAGATTCAACAGGGGGGTACAAAACTAAACAGAAATGATACAATGAGTAGGAAACCAATAAAAGAGAAGGCATCTTTCACTATGCTGCTTGAGAAATATGTGGTTGGAGAGCAGAGTTCTATGTGAGAAGTAGAAACACATTCGGTGATTTTTCTTATTAACTGTGAAATGCCAATGAAGTAATGTCAATACAGAGAACAATCCTTTTACATAAGGTAATAGGAGGGCTTAGGGTGATAAAGTAACGACACTAGAATGAAATGCAATACTGAAAATGTATAAAGTGCATAAACTGAGTTCACACACATGAAATTAGTTGATTTCAGAGGGATAATAAAGCGATGTGACTTTAGAAAGAGACAGATATGCTCCTGAATGTCTCAGGCTAATATAACTGTACTTTTAACACAAACATTTTAATGTGAACATAGGCTTTAGATGAAATATAAAACAAAATACGAAACTAAATTCTAGAAAAATTTCAATTGAATCAAACACAGAAAAAGCTAGCACAGTAATCAGAGAAAGACTGCCCTACACCCCAAAGACTTTCTCAAAATAGCTTCTTACAGGGAATAAATACTGCCTTGAGAACAAACATGCCCTGAATACTTATAGCAGTGAATCCACCCCATGGAACAAAACCACACTATTTTATTGTCTGTGTACAATGATTGTAAAGGTAGCAGCAAAGTCAGTTACCAACGATTCCATGCTTCTAGCCAGTCTTCACTAAGTCTCACTATATTGGCAAAAGCTATTGCTTAGAGACTTTTCTATTCTGAACACAGCATTTCTAACAACAACTGGTTTGTAGCTGCAATAATTCATCACATTATGTGCTGCCTTGCATATAGGAATTCTACATTACTAGATTCATTTGGATCAATTTAATAAGATACCACTAGAAAAAAATAGGAAAGAATAGTTGAAGGTGAACCAGTCTTCCAAAAACATCGGTGAATTATTAAGATACAAATAGCAGGATCAGAATTTCTATGTCTGGTCACTGTTGCCAAAAAACTCCTCTTAATAGAGCAGTTTCTTTCTCCCCACTTCCTTCCCCCACTCCCAAACACATGGGAGTTTTATACACATGGACTAATAAAATAAGTATTAGAGTTTCAGAAGGGTGTGATGCTGCTTAAGCAGAATCTGATTGCGATATGTGGGATGGGACATGACTGTCAGAAGAAGAAAATCTTGTCTTAAAGACAAGGGATTACTACTAAGATATGATGAGACTGCACAGCGCTCTGCATGCAAAAGATTTGGTCTCAGTAATTCTTTTCCTCTAAATACCTCATTCTCAGTACTAGAAGAAATTCATTTTAAAAGGTTGTCTAAGACCTAATCACTCACTGCTGAAGGAAAGAAAAATATGCACAAAAATCAGAGTGTAAGAGGAGTTGATATGCTGATGCGACATACAGATACCACTCTGCAAACAAGATGACAACATCATAGCTCCAGAATATGTAATGTTATCAATGTTTGTAAGGGTTCACTCAAAACCCAGATATTTCAGATACAATGCAATCTCTCTAAGCTATGAGACCTTTGAGGCAGTATATCTTAAAATGAATCACAGGTCTTAGGCCTAAGTTCCAACCATCGGATGTATAATTTATTCCTGATTTTGGAGTATTCACATCCCCAGTTTGCATGAGCAAGAGAAAATTTAGAATGTAGTGAAATACTTCTCAAAAATCAAACTGTGAAGTGGACAAACGTCAGTTCTGTAAATTGCACGTTTGGGTCTAAAACTGTTCTCCCATTTGAAATTTAACAGCTTGACTGTAATTCTAGATAGCTCTTACACAAAAATTGACCTCCATTTTTTTCTTCTAACATATATATGACATATAAAAAAAGATCTAAGCTGTAAGATATGTTTTTCCCTGATTTATTATTTTATGTATGGACACTGGTAATTTTATTCTGAAGACTGAAAGCCTTTTTAGGCTGAAATTTTTGAAAAGGCATTCCAGAGATGCATAACCTGTTGAAATACTTTCAGTTTTTAATCCTGTAGTTTATAGTGAAAAAAAAAAAAACAAAAAACTTTTGGACAATATTAGTAACTATTTGAGAAGAATTATGTCAGTATTTCAACTTTGCTTAAGCCAGTGTCCACTTGAAAAAAAATATAGATTTGTAGCATTGCTAGACAAAGCTAGCTACATACCTTCACCATCATTATTTTCTTGACGCTGAGGCTAGATCATACCAGGAGAACTGTTTCACAGTACCTTTATAATTAAGCACTCCTCAGCCGTCCTCTCGGTGTGGATTGCTACTGCTGGGTAATCTTCAGGGGTGGGGATCTGGGGAGGCAAATTTATGAAGGAGAAAACTAGGTTACTTATCAGTAACTGGAATTCTCTGAATATATTGCCTCCACAGATCCACACTAACCCTCCCTCCTTTCTTTAGAATTAACTCATGATTCATAATAGCTTGATAAAAATGAAGGGACTGGGCAC